GAGGTGTTGTTTGTGTGTCGGTGTCGTGTTTTGTGTGTCGATGTTTTGTGTGTGTCGATTTTGTGGTTTTGTTCTTTTGTTTTTTGTTCTGTGTGTCGTTTTCTGTGGTGTTTTGTGTATCATGTTTTGTGTGCGATGCACGATGTGTGAGTGACGTGCGACGCGTGTGCAACACGCGACGTGCAATGTGTGTGCGAAGCGCGATTTTTTTGTATGTATGATTTTTTGGTGTGTCATGTTGTGTGTGGTTTTTTTGTGTATGGTGTTTGTCAATTTTTTGTGTGAGATTTTTTGTGTTTGGTGTTTTGTGTGTCGAGTTGTGTGTGTTGTGTGCATTGTGTGTTTGTGTTTCGGTGTCGTGTTGTGTGTGCTTTTTTGTGTCGTGTGTTGTGTTGCATGCATTGTGTGTCGTGTGAAGTGTTGTGTGTTTGCCGGTGTGATTTTTGTGTATTTTGTGTCTTTTGTCTGGTCTTGTGTCAATTTTTTTGTGTGTGACACATGCGACGCGCAACGTGCATGTGATGCGCGCCATACAACACTCCACGTGCAACATGCATGCAATGCGCGAGGTGCGACGTGTGTGCAACGCACAACGTGCGATTTTTTGTATGTCTTCTTTTGCGTGTGATTTTTGTGTGTGGTGTTTTGTGTCATGTTGTGTGTGTTCTGTGCGATTCATGTGTCGTGTGAGGTGTGGTGTGTTTGTGTGTTGGTGTTGTGTGTTGTGTGTGGTGTTGTGTCATGTGTGTCGACTTTGTGTGTGCTGTTGTGTGTCGAGTTGTGTGTGTTATGTGCATTTCATGTGTCGTGTGAGGTGTTGTGTTTGTGCATCTGTGTTGTGTGATTTTGTGTGTCGTGTTTTGTGTGTGTGTTGCGTGTTCTGTTGCATGCGTTGTCGTGTTTTGTGTGCGTGTTGCGTGTGTTGTGTTACATACGTTTTGTGTTGTGAGGTGTCATGTGTTTGTGTGTTGGTGTCGTGTGTGTGATTTTTGTGTTTTGTGTGTCTTTGTTTTTGTATTGTCTTTTTGTGTCAATTTTTTGTGTGTGACATGCAACATGCAAGTGATGTGCATGTGCGACACGCGAGTGACGTGCGACTGCGGTGCGCAATTTTTTTGTGTGTGATTTTTGTGTGTGATGTGTTGTAAGGCCGTTTTGTTTGTCGTGTGAGGTGTTTTCTGTTTGTGTGTCGGTGCGTGTTGTGTGTGATTGTGTGGTGTTTTGTGTGTCAAGTTGTGTGTGTGTGCATTTCATGTGTCGTGTGAGGTGTTGTGTGTTTGTGCATTGGTGTAGTGTGTTGTGTGTGTGATTTTTTGTGTCGTGTTTTGTGTGTAGTGTTGCGTGTGTTGTGTTGCATGCGTTTTGTGTGTCATGTGAGGTGTCGTGTGTTTGTGTGTTGGTGTCGTGTGTTCTGTTGCATGCGTTTTGTGTGTCGTGTTTTGTGTGTGTGTTGCGTATGTTGTGTTTCATGCGTTTTGTGTGTCGTGAGGTGTTGTGTGTTTGTGTGTCGGTGTCTGTGTGTGTGATGTGTTGTGTCTTTGTTTTTGTATTGTCGATTTTGTGTGACATGCAACATGCGAGTGATGTGCGTGTGCGACACGCGAGCGACGTGCGACTGCGGTGCGCAATTTTTTTGTGTGTAATTTTTTCTGTGTGGTGTGTTGTGTGCCATTTTGTGTGTTGTGTGAGGTGTTTTGTGTTTGTGTGTCACGTGTTGTGTGTGATTGTGTGGTGTTTTGTGTGTCATGTTGCGTGTTGTGGTATGTGCGTTTTGTGTGTGAGATTTTTTGTGTGTGGTGTTTTGTGTGTCGTTTTTGTGTGGTGTTTTGTGTCTTGTGTCTTTTTTGTTTGGTGTGTCTTTTTTGTTTTGTTTTGTGTCGATTTTTTTGTATACCGTTTTGTGTGTCGTGTGATGTGTTTTGTGTTTCTGTGTCGGTGTCATGTGTGTGATTTTTTGTGTGTGATGTTTTGTGTGTCGGTGTCGTGTGTGTCATGTTGTGTGCTACGTGCAACGCGCTTGTGACGTGTAGCCCAGAGCTGCCCCACCAAGTCTCTGTTATTCCAATCACATCATAATTCCTTGACTGTGCCAAGACTTCCAGTTCTCCCTGCTTGTTTCCCAGGCTTCTTGTATTTGTGTATAGGCACTTGAGATAACTCGCAGATTGTCCCTCTTTCTCAGTATGAGGCAGGAGCCCTCCCCCTCGCGCTCTCCTGCTCATGCTTCCTCCCAGTATCCCACTTCCCCACTGACCTCAGGGCTTTGGTCTCCTTCCCCCGGTGAACCTACTTTAAAGCCCTCCTCACTAGGTTAGCCACTAGGTTAGGGTATGACAGGAAGCTCATATTGAGACAGATATAGCCTTACAGACTTTTTATTAAAATTTATAATAGTAAGTAAATGGTAAAATACCCAGAATTACAATGTTACAATTGCATTACTGCTATTCAAAAGATACATATGATAATATAGTATTATATGCTACAAAGCTTTGGTTAATGTACTCACACCCTTCCTTGAAAACCTGGGGGTAAGAGACACAGGACCAGCCTTGCAGTTCAGGTTTCTCAATTCGTGATGCAGAGCTTAGAAAAACTAATGCTAAGAGCTAACTTAGGGTTTACTTGACTAACTTAAACTTAAAACCTAATAAAACAAAACTCAGAATAAAAGAAACCAAGCTTAGCCTAGTTCCCTTGAAACTTAAAGTTTAAGAAGAACAAGTATAGCCTACCAATAGTAGTAGCCATTGTAGATAGAATAGATAGAGTGAGTGTAAGACAGAGTAAGTGAAAATGACAGAGCGGAGTGAAGTGAAGTGCTCTAGTGAGGTGCGTCACCTCTTTTATAGGGCACAAGTGCTGGAAATCCTTCCTCCTATGCCCAAATTTTATTCCTCACCCACAAATGTTAGGGTACACTTACCCCATAAGCTAGAAGGTTTGTGCGTATTGATGACACATATACAGTATACGCATATTAAGTTTCCTTGTGATGTACCTGTTAAGTCTGTGGGTACCACATTGAAAAACCCTCTATGCCATTCTTCATTATCTATTGGTCTAGGTAGAAGGTTATAGACATATGCGTGGAAACTTATTTATTTAGGTAACAAGATATAGGTTAACTTTACTTTTCTGGGTAAATGGTCTTAATATAGATGTGTTAACTTCCCTAAGCTTAACACACAGGATATGGCCTTTAGGTCTCTTGCGTTACAGCCAAGTTTTACTTTAATATAAATCTATAAACCTATTACAAAAAACCCAAATACTTAAACTTAAACGAAAAGATACATCTATGCAAGCAAGCCAGTTAGTCCTATAGGCTACACCTGTGGACTCCCAAGTGGGGTGCGCGCAACACAGCGGGTGCGCAAGACCATCCGTGGGGGTGCGCGGCAGGAGGGTCACCGCTGAAGGAGCTGCCGCCTTTGATTCTTTGGCAGCATGCCTGCGGCAGCTCTTCCACATTTTTTTCTTTTGTTTTTTGCTTTGCTAGAGCTGGCCCTGGGGGTGTGCGATCAAAAAAGTTTGTAGACCACTGGGCTACACGACTCAGAATCAGGACAAGAAATTCTCCCATTGCATTGTCCTCTGAGCCATTGAAACCTCCTTCACTCATTAGTTTTGAGTCATATTATTTACAAAAGTTCCAGTATTGTCATAATGGAAAAACCAAAAAACAAACCAACCAGCCAGCCTCCCCATCTGCAAACAATCCCATCTCAGTAGGAGAAGTCCTACAACAGGCTTTGCCAGCAGTTGGAAACTGGGATTTAAACTCCAAATGATCTCACTGTATTTCAGATCCATTCAAATTCCCCATCCAGGTCTGTGACACTTTCATCTCAGGCCCTAAATTACTGTTTTAGGAGCAAAGAAAACAAACTGTGATCCACAAACAGAGTCATAGGACACATTGAATCATAGGACACATTGAGCGGTGGAACTGCAGAAAGTGGAGAAGATCAATTCTACATGGCTTAAAAAGAGGAAACACTGCTGGGGTAATTCAGAAGGTGGGAATCCCGCCGACTAAGCACTTCTTCAGGCGTCACAGAGGTTGAAAAAAACCCACTTTTTTCCCCCTCAGTCACAGAGTCACCAGGCAATGCTCTGGAACTACTCCATATAAAGCCAGCCAGGACTCTGGGGGCCATGTCTCCTCTCTCTCAGCACACTGTCACCAGGGCAAGAAGCTGACACAACTTCGACCTTCCTGGGTCTGACATCGAAGCATTCAGCATCCCCTTCCACACCGTGCGCTTCCCGCAGCGAGTCCACCCAGACGAGGCTCCCAGGGAAGCCAGAGGGCCCTGCCCCCCAGCTCCGCATTCAGCAGTGACTCTCAGCCAGCCGGTAAAACAGAAGGTTTATTATTCGACAGGAACACGGCGTAGAACAGAACCTGTTAGACAGAAATCACTGACTTTTGGCCAAGTCCATTTTGGGGAGTCGAGGGCCAGATGCCCTGGACTCCCCCTCTTCCAGTCCCCCCAAGCAGACTGCCAGCTTCCAGCGACCCAAAGTCAGACACCCCCATTGCTCCTCCTCCTTGTCTTTGTCTCTCTTTCTGAGCAAAGAGTCACCTGGTTGCATCCCATTCCTGGGTCTCAGGGTACAAAGGGCACCATGTGACGTGTGTCAGACACAGACACCCCCTTGGGACTGTCACCCGATGTGCTGAAATTACCTTGGAGCCCATTTTCCCTGCCAGCTTGGGACTTCCAGAACCCTGACTTGTTGAGCCAGACACGCTAGCCTGCTGCAACACAGACCCAGGGTCTGGACCATGCCCCCAAAGCTGCAGGCTTTAAGTGAAAACAGCTCAGCAGCTTACTTGTCTCCAGCACCCAGACACCAAGTTCCCAATGGGATCCAAACCCCAAATAAATCCATTTTACTCTGTATAAAGCTTATACAGAGTAAATTCATAAATTGTCCGCCCTCTGTAACACTGATAGAGAGATATGCACAGCTGTTTGCTCCCCCAGGTATTCATCACTTACTCTGGGTTTATTAATAAACAAAAATGATGTCAAGTATAAAAATCAGGATTTAAGTGGTTTCAAGTAATAACAGACAGAACAAAGTAAGTCACACAGCAAAATAAAGCAAAAACAGGAAAGTCTAAGCCTAATACATGAAGAAACTGATTACAGGTAATAGCTCACCCTCAGAGATGTTCCAATAAACTTCTTTCACAGATTAGACTCCTTCCTAGTCTGGGCCCAATCCTTTCCCCAGGTAGTGTTAGTTCCAGCAGACATCTCAGGTGGTAAGCCGGGGATTTCTCATGACTGGCCCCCTTTGTCCTGCTCCACCCCCTTTTATAGCTTTGACACAAAGCAGGAATCCTTTGTCTCTCTGGGTCCCCACCCCTCCTTCCAAATGGAAAAGTACTAGATTTAAGATGGATTTCATCATCGGGTTACATGGTCACATGTCACTGTAAGACCCCTAGTCTCCATTCCCCATGGGCTGGCCCACACATACACAGGAAGGCTTTCAAGTAACTTAGCCATTTAACTGATTGTTTCTGGAACACCCTTAATGGCCTCCACTTAATATATTTACATCAGTGATACAAGTTTATAGCTTATTCTCCTACCTCAAGATAATACATAATACATGCAAACAAATAGGATGGACATTTCGTTGATTACAAGCTTTCTAACGACACCATACAAGGGGTATTTAGTGTAAAGCATATTCCAGTTCTGTCATATTCAAAAGCATATTTCCATAAAGCATAGAGACTGCAACGTCACACAGCCTCACCAGCCCCAGACGTCTCAGCCAAAGTCACACACCCCTATTCCCACCACCGAGGTATTGGTGCAGCACACAGGAAAACTGAGGCACACGCAGTATTAATGCAAAACAGTAAAACTCACATAGGCCCAACAGTAAGGCTCACAAACAACATAAGGGAAAATCCCCACTTAGTCACACCCTCTATCCCTGCACCTTCTCTGTTATATTTACTTTGAGAAAAATGGTACAAAACCCAACTGCTATTCAGCAGAACCCAGTGCAACGTGGGAACAACTGGGAATGAGGCAATCTGTCCCTAATGGGGGAACCTGATGACTAACAATCACTTTGCAGTGGGAGGAAAAGTATAAACTTGATGCTCCAAATTTGGTTAGACTAGGAAAAGTGCTGGAGCTTGTGTCCAGTGATGAGGAAATTTGCTATGTTACCCTGGCCGCTATATGGGCTATTTTCTTTCTTGAAAAAATAGTTGTGTCACTCCTGGTTCCCCCACCTGGGACTGATGGTCATTCCTGTTGGAGGGATGCACACTTCCATCACTGTCATAAATATACAGGGAAGGGTCACCACCTTTCTGTATACAGTGCTGGAAAATCCCTCCTGGCCAGAGGCAACATCCTGTTACCTGTGAAGGGTTAAGAAGCTCAGCTAACCTGGCTGGCACCTGACCAAAAGGACCAATAAGGGGACAAGATACTTTCAAATCTTGGGGGGGGGCTTTTGTTTTGTGCTCTTTGTTCACATGTTTGTTCTCTCTTGGGACTGAGAGAGGCCAGACAGAAATCCATCTTCTCCAACCCATCCTAATCCAAGTCTCCAATATTGCTACCAGCAGAGGTAAGCCATGCAAGGCAGATTAGTTTATTTTTTGTTTCATGTGAATTTTCCCTGTGTTAAGAGGGAGGTTTATTCCTGTTTTCTGTAACTATAAGGTTTTGCCCAGAGGCGGATGCTCTGTGTTTTGAATCTGAATACCCTGTAAAGTATTTTCCATCCTGATTTTACAGAGATGATTTTTACCTTTCTTTTTTTTTTAAATGAAATCCTTCCTTTAAGAACCTGACTGATTTTTCCATTGTTCCAAGATCCAGGGGTTTGGGTCTTTGATGATTTTGTAACCAATTGGTTAGGATATTATTCTCAAGCCTCCCCCGAAAAGGGGGTATGTAGGGCTTGGGGGGATATTTTGGGGGACGACGTCTCCAAGTGGTCTCTTTCCCTCTTCTTTGTTTAACACGCTTGGTGGTGGCAGCATAGGGTTCAAGGACAAGGCAAAGTTTGTACCTTGAGGAAATTTTTAACCTAAGCTGGTAAGAATAAGCTTAGGGGGTCTTTCATGCAGGTCCCCACATCTGTACCCTGGAGTTCAGAGTGGGGAGGGAACCCTGACAATGACACAGGACAAAGGAGTTGATGAAAAACACTGTGGGCTTCACTCCAAGGAAGGGTGAGCTGCAAAAGGGAAAAGCAGACAACTCACCTGAAGGAGCTGAGACACCACAAGTGCTGCCTTAAAGTTCACTACTTGGGAATTAGGAAAAGGAAAAAAACATCTTTTCTGAGCCCTAGACAAGATTTTCATGGTGTTTATCTCCCTTGCAGCTTCTCTGGTGATAAATAAGAGAAGACCTGTGATGGAAGGTTTTCCCACACTCACAGCATTTATAGAGTTTCTCTCCTGTGTGACTCCTCTGATGTATAATAAGGCCTGATCTCCCAGCAAAGGTTTTCCCGCACTCACAGCATTCATAGGATTTTCTCTCCTGTGTGGCTCCTCTGATGTGTAATAAGGCCTGATCTCCCAGCGAAGGTTTTCCCGCACTCACAGCATTCATAGGGTTTCTCTCCTGTGTGACTCCTCTGATGTGTAATAAGGCCTGATCTCCCAGCGAATGTTTTCCCGCACTCACAGCATTTATAGGGTTTCTCTCCTGTGTGGATCCTCTGATGTATAATAAGGCCTGATCTCCCAGCAAAGGTTTTCCCGCACTCACAGCATTCATAGGGTTTCTCTCCTGTGTGGATCCTCTGATGTGTAATAAGGCCTGAGCTCTGAGCGAAGGTTTTCCCACACTCACAGCATTTATAGGGTTTCTCTCCTGTGTGCCTCCTCTGATGTGTAATAAGGCCTGAGCTCTGAGTGAAGGTTTTCCCGCACTCACAGCATTTATAGGGTTTCTCTCCTGTGTGGATCCTCTGGTGGCGAATAAGGTGTGAGCGATCAATGAAGGTTTTCCCGCACTCACAGCATTTATAGGGTTTCTCTCCTGTGTGGATTCTCTGATGTGTAATAAGCTCTGAGCTCCCACCAAAGGTTTTCCCGCACTCACAGCATTTATAGGGTTTCTCTCCTGTGTGGCTCCTCTGATGCGTAATAAGGCCTGAGCTCTGAGCGAAGGTTTTCCCGCACTCACAGCATTCATAAGGTTTCTCCCCTGTGTGGATCCTCTGATGGCGAATAAGGTGTGAGCTCCGAGTGAAGGTTTTCCCGCACTCACAGCATTCATAGGGTTTCTCCCCTGTATGGATCCTCTGATGGCGAATAAGGTGTGAGCTCCGAGCAAAGGTTTTCCCGCACTCACAGCATTTATAGGGTTTCTCCCCTGTGTGGATGCTCTGATGGCGAATAAGGTTTGAGCTCTCAGCAAAGGCTTTCCCGCACTCACAGCATTCATAGGGTCTCACTCCGGTGTGGATGCTCTGATGGCGAATAAGGGTTGAGCGCTCAGTGAAGGTTTTCCCACACTCACAGCATCCATAGGGTCTCATTCTGATGTGGATTCTCTGATGGGTAATAAGGTGTGAGCGCCTCCTGAACTTTTTCCCACACTCAAAGCCCGTGTTATTTCTCTCTCCCGTCAGGATTCTCTGCGGGGACGTGGTTTCCTTGAGACCTTTGTGAGTTCCCCGATAATTAACAGCTATTCCAACTGTCTGCACTGGCTGGTTTCCCTGCCCCTTCTCTGGCCTGTGCTGCCCCTGAGAGCCTTTTCCCTGCTCACAACTCCTGGACACACTCCCTTTGCATCTTTGCAATAACGTCCCCTGTGGCTCCACTCGCTCCTCTTCCTGCTGAGGATTCTGCTCCACGGTCTCTCTCACCATCCCATCACCTGCTGGGACAGAGAAAGAAAAACCTCAGAAACCAGAAGAGAAAAGGGGGGAACAAACCAAGAGAATAGCTGGAGATGGAGAAAAACCAGGGACTGAATTTCCCCCAACTCTTCCCCAAAGGGGCGAGAGGAGGGGATCAATTCTGCATCCAGTTCCCATACAAACACTCCCCAGGGAGAAGGGAGTTTGGGGAGGGAACTACTGCCAGGAGTTAGGATGGGTAGGGAGCCATGAACAGTATCTGCCCTGAGGATATGACACCTGCTGGGGACCATCCTGAACCCAGAGACCTCACAAGGTCTTTGTTGGGAATCCCAGCTGTTTCCTTCAAGCACTGAGTAGGTTTAATCATCCCTCACCCACTCGGCTGCCTCTCAGGATCTCTCTTTCCTTTGAGTTCCGGCGATCTGGGGCCCACGGCTCTTCCCCTCGTTCCAGCTGGGAGATGACATCGGGTTTGGAAACTGGAAACCCTGCTCAGGGGAAAGACGACCAGTGAGATCAGATAACAGCAAAAGAAGAAGTTACTCAACTTGTGCATCAACGATGGTTCTTTGAGATGTGTCTCCCTATGGGTGCTCCACTGTAGGTGCTAGCCCATTAAAAACAGCTGTGTAGACTGGTGCCTCAGTGAAGTGCTACAATCTCTGACTCCCGGAAACCTTCCCTCACCAGACCACCCTGTGATGGGTTGGGTCACAGAGACCCCCTTGGGACTTTCACCGGAGGTGCTGGAACTACCTCTAAGCCCACTGCTCTGTCAGTTAGCGATGTCAAAAATCGCATCCCCACCTGACATAAATTGCCTCAAAAACTGTAGTGTCAACATAGATACAGTGGCTAAAAAGTCCATTAAACAGAAAAACAAGGAAATTAAAGGCCCATAAAGTACATTAAGCAGAGTTAAGGATGCCTAGTGCTGCCTCGTGCCCTTCCAGCATGTGGAAAGAGACGGTGTTAGCGTTTGTGCTGTCCTGCGCCTGTGCTCTGCTCCCAAAGCGTTCTGTAGCGGGGAGGGTCGAGTGCTAAGTCTGTGTGTCATTGGCCTGTCAGGGGGTTGCTGAAACAGGGAAAAACTGAGGGTGCAATGTGAACCTTAACTCTTCATTTCTCCTTCTAAGAACCGAGGGGACAGGAATCCTTACCCAGCGAGGTCACATTCTTATAGTTCTCCTGCATGACATCTCCGTAGAGGGCTCTCTGAGCGGGGTCCAGCAGAGCCCACTCTTCCTCAGTGAAATACACAGCCACCTCCTCGAAAGTCACCGGCCCCTGAAAGAGCAAGAGCCCCCCACTCTGCACCTGCTGCCCAGTGACAACCCCACCGTTCACAGGGGAGGAGGGCCAATCACATGGAAGCTCTGGGAGGCAGGCAGGCAGGCTCCGACCCCCTCTCCATCAGAGCAGCCAGGAGGCATCAGGGTGAGGGGAGAAAGAGAGAGAGCCAGACAGAGATGGCCAGGGTCTTCACAGTCAACACTCACCTACCAGTCAGAAGTGGATACAAGAGATAGAGCCCCCAGGAGAGTCCAGGGACAGCCAGTCCCCTGGTAGGAATCCCAACTCCCGTCCCCGTGCCAGCAGTTGGATGGAAAGGGATGGGGTGTCTTCCCTGGGCCTCACTGGAGGTTACCCTCTGGCTATTAAGTTCAGACTCCAGTATTGGAGTCTGGTACATTTCCCCAGCCCAGTCCAGGGGGGTATTTCCTGCTTGACAAATTAGGGAATTTCCACCCACAAACCCCATGGGTCTGTTGCTAGAATCTAGGCCCCACCGTAAACAAATCCCAGCAGGTTTGTCACACCCTGTCCCCCTCCCTTTCTCCAGGCTGTGTATTTCCTGCCCCCTCCCACCTGCCGACCACCCACAGAAGCACCCACCTCCTATATCTTTACTGCCCTTCTCCTGCCAACAGGAGCCCACCAGCAACTCCCCGATAATCCCTACCTGAACTTGCCCCACGGCAGCCATTTCCCTTCCCTGGTCCCTGGAAGGATGGGACGTAACGTTGCAGCCTGTCAGGGCAAGAAGGGGACATGTCAGAACAGGACAGTAACGTCACATCACAATTCCCCGCGGCTCTTTCCCTGCAGACTGATGTTCTCGACTCTGTCATGCAAATAAAAGAAATATTCAAAACACAATTAGTAATGGGGGGGACGGGGGAAAGACATGGGACTTTAACTACCCAGTCATCCGTAGAAAAGGTATTCAAACAAACACAAAGTGTCCAATAAGTTCTTGGAATGTGTTGGGGACACCTGTTTGATTCAGAAGATGGACGTAGTAACCAGGGGGACAGGCATTTTAGGGTTGATTCCGACTAACAGGCAGGAGTTAGTTAAGAAACGGAAGGTGGAAAGCAATATTGGCGAAAGTGTTCATGAAATGATGATTTCGTGATTCTAAGAGAAGGAAGGCATTAGAGCAGGAAAATAAGGACAATGGACTTCAAAAAACAGGTGATATCAAATGCCCAGCTAGGAAGCAGGGAGGCTCGGGACTGGAAAGAGAGAGACCAGGCAGAGTCCACCTGGAAGCAGGGGAGACTTGGATGTGCTGTGCTGAGGAAGGCCAGGCCTGAGGGCCCTAAGAGTTTCCTATGGTGTGTTCAGGCATTCAATAAACCCTTCTGGCTGAGAGTTGCTCCGGTCTAGAGAACAGGGTTGCATCATTCCCTCTGGGCGTAGAGGCCCCGGGGCTCTAGAGCAAGTGGACTCCCTGAGGGGGCCCACGGCGAGAAACAGGTGTGCTAAGGTTCAGAGAGGTGCGGCTTCAGGAGGTAACCCCCAAGAGAGAGTGGACCCCTGAGAAGTGCTGTCTCACTGAAGGGGGTTTCCCCCAGAGACCGCATGGGGCCAAGAGTGGGCATGACCTGTGAGTCCGTGACACCTGGGACTTCTTGTAACTTTCCACTGGAAGGGAAAGGGGGGGTCAAATTTGAGAAATAAAAGATTCCCGCTTTATGTAAATCTTATTTAAGGGTGGGGAGGAAGGCAAACGAGACACCTCCTCTCCATGGCCTGTCTCCCCAAGAAGAAAGACTGCTAAAGCCATCTGAAGGGAAGACAGGGGGGAGTCCACACTGAGACAGGGGTCCAGTCTGAAAAGAAATATAACTGGAACTCTGAACCACAGAAACTTTGCAACCTGCCTAAAATAACATTCAGGGTAAGAAATTACATTCTGTAACCTGTTTAAGTATATTGAGCTTAGCTTGCGTATTTTGCTTTATTTGGTCAGTAAGCTCTTTAATGACCAGACAATAAAAAGGAATCCTACAAAAATTTGAATCATGGACAGATTGCTTTGGATGAGTACAAAAGAACAGCACAAGCATAGAACCATAGGACTGGAAGGGACCTCACGAGGTCATCTAGTCCCATCCCCTGCACTCATGGCAGGATTAAGTATTTTCTAGACCAGAGATTCTCAAACTTTGGTACTGGTGACCCCTTTCACATAGCAAGCCTCTGAGTGCGACCCCCCTTATAAATTAAAAACATAGAATCATAGAATATCAGGGTTGGAAGGGACCCCTGAAGGTCATCTAGTCCAACCCCCTGCTCGAAGCAGGACCAATTCCCAGTTAAATCATCCCAGCCAGGGCTTTGTCAAGCCTGACCTTAAAAACCTCTAAGGAAGGAGATTCTACCACCTCCCTAGGTAACGCATTCCAGTGTTTCACCACCCTCTTAGTGAAAAAGTTTTTCCTAATATCCAACCTAAACCTCCCCCACTGCAACTTGAGACCATTACTCCTCGTTCTGTCATCTGCTACCATTGAGAACAGTCTAGAGCCATCCTCTTTGGAACCCCCTTTCAGGTAGTTGAAAGCAGCTATCAAATCCCCCCTCATTCTTCTCTTCTGCAGGCTAAACAATCCCAGCTCCCTCAGCCTCTCCTCATAACTCATGTGTTCCAGACCCCTAATCATTTTTGTTGCCCTTCGCTGGACTCTCTCCAATTTATCCACATCCTTCTTGTAGTGTGGGGCCCAAAACTGGACACAGTACTCCAGATGAGGCCTCACCAATGTCGAATAGAGGGGAACGATCACGTCCCTCGATCTGCTCGCTATGCCCCTACTTATACATCCCAAAATGCCATTGGCCTTCTTGGCAACAAGGGCACACTGCTGACTCATATCCAGCTTCTCGTCCACTGTCACCCCTAGGTCCTTTTCCGCAGAACTGCTGCCTAGCCATTCGGACCCTAGTCTGTAGCGGTGCATTGGATTCTTCCATCCTAAGTGCAGGACCCTGCACTTATCCTTATTGAACCTCATCAGATTTCTTTTGGCCCAATCCTCCAATTTGTCTAGGTCCTTCTGTATCCTATCCCTCCCCTCCAGCGTATCTACCACTCCTCCCAGTTTAGTATCATCCGCAAATTTGCTGAGAGTGCAATCCACACCATCCTCCAGATCATTTATGAAGATATTGAACAAAACCGGCCCCAGGACCGACCCTTTGGGCACTCCACTTGATACCGGCTGCCAACTAGACATGGAGCCATTGATCACTACCCGTTGAGCCCGACATTCTAGCCAGCTTTCTACCCACCTTATAGTGCATTCATCCAGCCCATACTTCCTTAACTTGCTGACAAGAATACTGTGGGAGACCGTGTCAAAAGCTTTGCTAAAGTCAAGAAACAATACATCCACTGCTTTCCCTTCATCCACAGAACCAGTAATCTCATCATAAAAGGCGATTAGATTAGTCAGGCATGACCTTCCCTTGGTGAATCCATGCTGGCTGTTTCTGATCACTTCCTCTCATGCAAGTGCATCAGGATTGATTCTTTGAGGACCTGCTCCATGATTTTTCCAGGGACTGAGGTGAGGCTGACTGGCCTGTAGTTCCCAGGATCCTCCTTCTTCCCTTTTTTAAAGATTGGCACTACATTAGCCTTTTTCCAGTCATCCGGGACTTCCCCGGTTCGCCACGAGTTTTCAAAGATAATGGCCAATGGCTCTGCAATCACAGCCGCCAATTCCTTCAGCACTCTCGGATGCAACTCGTCTGGCCCCATGGACTTGTGCACGTCCAGCTTTTCTAAACAGTCCCTAACCACCTCTATCTCCACAGAGGGCTGGCCATCTCTTCCCCATTTTGTGATGCCCAGCGCAGCAGTCTGGGAGCTGACCTTGTTAGTGAAGACAGAGGCAAAAAAAGCATTGAGTACATTAGCTTTTTCCACATCCTCTGTCACTAGGTTGCCTCCCTCATTCAGTAAGGGGCCCACACTTTCCTTGACTTTCTTCTTGTTGCCAACATACCTGAAGAAACCCTTCTTGTTACTCTTGACATCTCTTGCTAGCTGCAGCTCCAGGTGCGATTTGGCCCTCCTGATATCATTCCTACATGCCCGAGCAATATTTTTATACTCTTCCCTGGTCATATGTCCAACCTTACACTTCTTGTAAGCTTTTTTATGTTTAAGATCCGCTAGGATTTCACTATTAAGCCAAGCTGGTCGCCTGCCATATTTACTATTCTTTCGACTCATCGGGATGGTTTGTCCCTGTAACCTCAATAGGGATTCCTTGAAATACAGCCAGCTCTCCTGGACTCCTTTCCCCTTCAAGTTAGTCCCCCAGGGGATCCTGGCCATCCGTTCCCTGAGGGAGTCGAAGTCTGCTTTCCTGAAGTCCAGGGTCCGTATCCTGCTGCTTACCTTTCTTCCCTGCGTCAAGATGCTGAACTCAACCAACTCATGGTCACTGCCTCCCAGATTCCCATCCACTTTTGCTTCCCCCACTAATTCTAACATTATATATTTAACACCATTATAAATGCTGGAGGCAAAGTGGGGTTTGGGGTGGAGGCGGACAGCTCACGACCCCCCCAACATAATAACTTCACAGCCCCCTGAGGGGTCCCGACCCCCAGTTTGAGAACCCCTGATCTAGACCATCCCTGTCAGGTGTCTTATCCAACCTGCTTTTAAAAATCTCCAATGACAGATATTTCACAACCTCCCTAGACAATTTGTTCCAGTGCTTAACCACCCTGACAGGAAGTTTTTCCTGATGTCCAACCTAAACCACCATTGCTGCAATTTAAGCCCATTGCCTCTTGTCCTAGCCTCAGAGGTTAATTAGAACAATTTTTCTCCCTCCTCCTTGTAACAACTTTTCATGTACTTGAAAACCGTTATCATGTCCCCACTCAGTCTTCTCTTCTCCAGACTAAACAAACCCAAGTTTCTCAATCTTCCCTCACAGGTCATGTTTGCTAGACCTTTCATAATTTTTGTTGCTCTTCTCTGAACTTCCTCCAAATCTTTCCTGAAATGTGGCACCCAGAACTGGACACAATCCTCCAGATGAGGCCTAATCAGCACAGAGTAGAGCGGAAGAATTACTTATTGTGTCTTGTTTACAACACTCCTGCTAATATACCCCAGAAAGTTGTTCGCTTCTTTTACAACAGTGTTACACTGTTGACTCTCGTTTAGCTTGTGATCCACTATGACCCCCAGATCTCTTTCCACAGTACTCCTCACTAGGCAGTCATTTCCCATTTTGTGTGTGTGCAACTGATTGTTCCTTCCTAAGTGGAGTACTTTGCATTTGTCCTTATTAAATTTCATCCTATTTACTTCAGACCATTTTGTCCTGATCATTTTGAATTTTAATCCTATCTTTGATGAAGATATTGAACAGAACCAGACCCAGAACTGATCCCAGTGGGATCACACTCGATATGCCCTTCCAGCTTGACTGTGAACCACTGATAACTACTCTCTGGGGACAGTTTTCCAACCAGCTATGCACCCACCTAATGGTAGTTCCATCTCAGTTGTATTTTTCTAGTTTGTTTATGAGAAGGTCATGCAAGACAGTATCAAAAGCCTTACTAAAGTCAAGATATACCATGTCTACCGCTTCCCCTCTATCCAAAAGCTTGTTACCCCGTCAAAAAAAAGCTATTAGGGTGGTTTGACACAATTTGTTCTTGACAAATCCATGCTGACTGTTACTTATCACCTTATCATCATCTAGGTGTTTGCTAACTGATTGCTTAATTATTTGTTCCATTATCTTTCCAGGGAATTAAAAGAAGCTGATTGGTCTGAAATTCCCTGGGTTGTCCTTACTCCTCTTTTTATAGATGGGCACTAGATTTGCCCTTTTCCAGTCCTCTGGAATCTCTCCCGTCTTCCATGACTTTTAGAAGATAATCACTAATGGCTCAGATATCTCCTCAGTCAGCTCCTTCTGCATTCTAGGGTGCATTGCATCAGGCCCTGGTGACTTGAAGACGTCTAACCTAAGTAAATTTTTAACTTGTTCTTTCCCTATTTTAGCCTCTGACCCTACCTCATTTTTATTGGCATTCATTAAGTTAGATGTCCAATTGCTACTAAACTTTTTGGTGAAAACTGAAACAAAAGTCGTTTAGCACTTCTGCCATTTCCACATTTTCTGTTATTGGTTTTCCCCCGCTCAGTGAGTACCATGACATGTGGGGACAAAATCAGAAAGATTAACTCCCAAAATAAGTTACACCTAGCAAGGGACATAGAAGGCAATAAGTCGGGTACTACTTAAATCACGGGGCGGGAAGGGGGAAACATACAATTTTTAAGGGTTGGTCATGGTAGAAATAGTGAACTTTGTGGATGTGTTATACACCCGCAAAATTTGCTATTTATGTAGTGAGTAACCCACGAAAAAGTGTGATTTCTCCACAGCGTTTCTCAAACTAGGGGCCCAGACCCAAAAGGGGGTTGCAAGCCTACTCGGGGGGTGCGGTATTCCCACCCTTACTCCTGAGTTGATGCTGGCAGCGGTGCTGCCTGGAGCTGGGTGGCGAGAGAGCGGTGGATGCTGGCCGGTGCCCAGCTCTGAAGGCAGAGAAGTAGGGGTGGCTTAGAATTGCCATCCTTACTTCTGTACTGTGGGGGCACTGCCTTCAGAGCTAGCCACCCAGCCGGCAGCTGCCGCTTTCCACTCTGCCTTCAGAACTGGGCAGCCGGAGACCAGATTTCATGATCCGTGACGCAAATTTCCGCCCTCATTTTTCTGCCCCATTTTTCTACTCCCCAGCCCTGCTTTGTGCCCTTGGCGGCCGCCCCACTCACCCCACCCTAGTTATGGCCCTGTAGCTGCACCAGATTGTTTGGTTACCAAAAAAATTCACAGGCGTAATGTAATAATTGAGTGTTTATATTATTCCAGCAGATTTTTATTAAACAAATAGATCTGCTGTGGCCTTTCCAAATTATGGCAATTAGTAAAGGTCCATTATTACTTTTCTGCGATTTTCCAAGCCTTCTTTGCAACTCAGCTGCAATTATTTGAAGATCATCCTGCGATTCAGGTAGGGTCTTAATTATTATTAACCAAGAGGAGGAAGAAACAGAAACCACAATATGGAAAGAACAGGTTAAAAATATGTAGATACATTATATATATTAATGTCAGCCATGAAATTCATTTTAGGGTGCTCAAGGAATTAGCTGAGGCAATCTGGGAACCATTAGCAGTTATCTTTGAGAACACCTGGAGAACAGTGAAGACTGGAGAAGGGCAAACAGAGTACCGATCTTTTAAAAGGGGAACAAAGAGAACCGGGAAATAAAGTCAAGCCTTCCTTAGATACCTTGAATGAACAAATTATTATACAATCAATTTGTAAGCACCTAGAGGCCAGTAAGGTGATAAGTTATAGCCAGCATGGATTTGCAAAAACAAATAATGCCAAGTCAATCTAATTTCCTACTTTCACAGGGGTACTGGACTTATAGATCCAGGGGACACTGTAGATAGGACATATCTTGATTTTAGTCAGGCTTTTGACACAGGCCCCCATGACATTCTCACCGTGAACTAGGGAAATGTGGTGTACATGCAAGTGCTATAAAATGGGTGAAAATGTTGTTGAAAGGCTGTACTCAGACAGGAATCATTACTGGTTCACTGTCCAACTGAGAGGATGTATACAATGGGGTGCCCAGGGGCCAGTCCTGGATCTGATATATTCAATATTTTCACTAATTACTTGGATAATGGACTGGAGAGCATGCTGTCTAAATATGCAGATAACAGCAGCTGCGAGGGGTTGCAAGCACATTGGAGGACAGGATTAGAATTCAAGGTAACATTTACAAACTGGAGAAGTAGGCTGAATGAACGAGATGAAATTCAATAAAGACAAGTGAAAGACAAATAGAAAAAGCACCCATGCCTACGTTTAAGACCTTTACCCAGACCAATGGACAACGAAGAATGGCATAGCGGGTTTTTCAAAGTTGTACCCACAGACTTAACAAGTACACTACAAGTGCGTACATACCTGTCATCAATACTGTTGTGGAAAATTAACCAAGCGTTGTATTTAGTTCAGAACAGCCTGAGGCCCACTTTATTACAAGCATGCAGGGGACCACAGCCAGCCTAGCTGCCGAACCCGAAACAGGGAACACAGAAGCTTATATAGATCAAAACCACAATCAATTGCACACAGTTCCTTATTAATTTTTTGCCTTATTAGGAATACATTTTCCTTATTAGGAATACAGCAAAAACAAGCTTTGTCCTGTTATTCACAGTTTGTTCTTTTGCCGTTATGAGCTTTCCTAACACTAGCTGTGGCTGTTATATTTCTCAAGATTGGCTATTACAAATTGTTCTGCTTGGAACTTTCCACTCTCTTCTCCTGCCCTCTGACCATGTACACAATTAGCTTGACCAGAGTTTTAGGCCTACTCACTTTTCTCTTACAATACGCACGTACATATTAGCCTATGGGGTAAGTGTACCCTAACATTTCTGTGGGGGAGGAATGAAATTTGGGCATAAGAGGAAGGATTTCCGGCACTTGTGTCATATAAAAGAGCTTCATTCATCATCTATTCTAGATCTCTTCATCTTCAACTAGCCAGGAGACTCAATGAGTGTGTGACAGGAATTTTCAGGAATTCCAGGCATCCTTAGACCCCTAGAAATCTCACCTGAGGCATAAGTAAATGGTTAAAATTACAGAGACTTACAAATTGTGTGTCTCCCCCACTCTCTTAAGAAAACAGAAACCTAATTTCCTGTGACTGCAGCTTGGCAGCAGTCCCAGTATTTCTGGTTTTGTGTTGTGGTTTTGACTTAGAAGTTTAATTTTAAGGTTTTTGAATATAATACTGCAAGATAAAAAGTAATATTATAAAGTAATTGTGTTATTGTTAAAATAATATTATTTAAAGTGATACGATCGTCTAAGGGGGGGGAGGAGGTTTAGAACAGCTGAGAAATAGCGAGAGGATTTCTGAGCATGGTAACCCATGGGGTTTTGTAAGTGAGGTATTTGATGTAGAAACAGAGCAGAAAAAGAAAAGGGCTAAACTGGTAAAGGGAATGGCTGTTGAATGCCTGCTCGTGACTTGTAGTTCGCTGGGAAAGAAATGGAATAAAAAAGTAGGGCTACTCAGGGAAGCCCAGCAAAATTTGGATGCCAGCTTAAAGTCGCTGAAGGGCTATAGGGACCGTGATCAGCTGTTGGAAAGAATCAGAAAAGAGAGAAGATGTGTCAGAGGAGGATAAAGAATCGATTCCCATCCCTGTCAGCATGATGGAACCAACAGAGGTAGACAAACCTGCAGCGCCAACTCCTAGAAGTAGGGCAAGAGAATTCGCTCAGGCTGATACGGTACCTTTAGGAGCGGGATTGGAGATGGAGTCTGAGAGCCACGGGGAGAGTCAGAAGAGGAAGTTAGCTGTGCAGGAGCTACCGGCAGTCTGCAGATAGGAAAAGGAAGTCCCAGGGTGGCACCACAGGAAGCGGAGCTGAGTGCCACAGAAAAGGCAGCTGGTGATGTAAAGGAGGAGTTGAGCAAAGCAAAACGGGAGGAAATATCCTCTCCTCTGTCGGTGAATAACCGGGGGCACGGCCTCACTTAGCCAGCAGGGGTCACTGCCCAAATAGTGGAGACACACACGGCCCCACCTGGCCTTGAACACGCCTCTCAGTGAGACCAGAAACCTGGCTCGGGCAGGAGGAGGCCAGACTCCTTTGAAACGGATCATTGCGGCGGGGGATCGAACCTGCTCCCGCCCCCCTCGCTCCCCATGTCCTGAGAGGGATTCACAGCTGCAGTTTTCCATCCCCCCCCGAACCCCCCTTTCACATCATCTGCCCCCCCTGGCTGATTTTCCGTCCCCCTGCCTGACCCCCCCCATTTCACACTGTCTCCCCTCCCCCACCCCTGGCTGATTTTCCATCCCCCCCCGCCTGACCCCCCCATTTCACGCAGTCTGCCCCTCCCCCACCCCTGGCTGATTTTCCATCCCCCCCGCCTGACCCCCCCATTTCACGCCATCTCCCCTCCCCCACCCGACTGATTTTCCATCCCCCCCGCCTGACCCCCCCATTTCACGCCATCTCCCCTCCCCCACCCCTGGCTGGTTTTCCATCCCCCCCCCGCCTGACCCCCCCCATTTCACGCCGTCTCCCCTCCCCCACCCCTGGCTGATATTCCGTCCCCCCGCCTGACCCCCCCCATTTCACACCGTCTCCCCTCCCCCCACCCCTGGCTGGTTTTCCATCCCCCCCCCGCCTGACCCCCCCATTTCACGCCGTCTCCCCTCCCCCACCCCTGGCTGGTTTTCCATCCCCCCCGCCTGACCCCCCCCCATTTCACGCCGTCTCCCCTCCCCCACCCCTGGCTGATATTCCGTCCCCCCCGCCTGACCCCCCCCCATTTCACACCGTCTCCCCTCCCCCACCCCTGGCTGGTTTTCCATCCCCCAACCCGCCTGACCCCCCCATTTCACGCCGTCTCCCCTCCCCCACCCCTGGCTGATATTCCGTCCCCCCCGCCTGAGCCCCCCCCATTTCACGCCGTCTGCCCCTCCCCCACCCCTGGCTGGTTTTCCATCCCCCCCGCCTGACCCCCCCCCCATTTCACGCCGTCTGCCCCTCCCCCACCCCTGGCTGATTTTCCATCCCCCCCCGCCTGATCCCCCCCTTTCACGCCGTCTGCCCTCCCCCACCCCTGGCTGATTTTCCATCCCCCCCGCCTGACCCCCCCCTTTCACGCCGTCTGCCCTCCCCCCACCCCTGGCTGATTTTCCATCCCCCCCGCCTGACCCCCCCCTTTCACGCCGTCTGCCCCTCCCCCCACCCCTGGCTGATTTTCCATCCCCCCGCCTGACCCCCCCCCCTTTCACGCAGTCTGCCCCTCCCCCACCCCTGGCTGATTTTCCATCCCCCCCGCCTGACCCCCCCCCCTTTCACGCCGTCTGCCCCTCCCCCACCCCTGGCTGGTTTTCCATCCCCCCCCCGCCTGACCCCCCCCTTTCACGCAGTCTGCCCCTCCCCCCACCCCTGGCTGGTTTTCCATCCCCCCCGCCTGACCCCCCCCCCTTTCACGCCGTCTGCCCCTCCCCCCACCCCTGGCTGGTTTTCCATCCCCCCCGCCTGACCCCCCCCTTTCACGCCGTCTGCCCCTCCCCCCACCCCTGGCTGATTTTCCATCCCCCCCCGCCTGACCCCCCCCCTTTCACGCAGTCTGCCCCTCCCCCCACCCCTGGCTGATTTTCCATCCCCCCCGCCTGACCCCCCCCCTTTCACGCCGTCTGCCCCTCCCCCACCCCTGGCTGATTTTCCATCCCCCCCGCCTGACCCCCCCCCCTTTCACGCCGTCTGCCCCTCCCCCACCCCTGGCTGGTTTTCCATCCCCCCCCCCCTGACCCCCCCCTTTCACGCCGTCTGCCCCTCCCCCACCCCTGGCTGGTTTTCCATCCCCCCCGCCTGACCCCCCCCTTTCACGCCGTCTGCCCCTCCCCCCACCCCTGGCTGGTTTTCCATCCCCCCCGCCTGACCCCCCCCTTTCACGCCGTCTGCCCCTCCCCCACCCCTGGCTGATTTTCCATCCCCCCCGCCTGACCCCCCCCTTTCACGCCGTCTGCCCCTCCCCCACCCCTGGCTGATTTTCCATCCCCCCCGCCTGACCCCCCCTTTCACGCCGTCTCCCCTCCCCCACCCCCTGACTGATTTTCCATCCCCCCCGCCTGACCCCCCCATTTCACGCAGTCTGCCCTCCCCCACCCCTGACTGATTTTCCATCCCCCCGCCTGACCCCCCCCTTTCACGCAGTCTGCCCCTCCCCCCACCCCTGGCTGATTTTCCATCCCCCCCCGCCTGACCCCCCCCCTTTCACGCAGTCTGCCCCTCCCCCCACCCCTGGCTGATTTTCCATCCCCCCCGCCTGACCCCCCCCTTTCACGCAGTCTGCCCCTCCCCCCACCCCTGGCTGATTTTCCATCCCCCCCCCCTGACCCCCCCCCTTTCACGCAGTCTGCCCCTCCCCCACCCCTGGCTGATTTTCCATCCCCCCCGCCTGACCCCCCCCCTTTCACGCCGTCTGCCCCTCCCCCACCCCTGGCTGATTTTCCATCCCCCCCGCCTGACCCCCCCCCCTCTTTCCACCCCCCCCCCCCCCTTTCACGCCGTCTGCCCTCCCCCACCCCTGGCTCCAGGAGTCTCGGCCCGACCGGCTCCGCGCGCCCCCCTGCCCCCAGGAGCTCTCCGCCAATCAGCGAGAGGGGAGGGGGAGGTGCCCTCACGCGCCTCCCTAACAGCCTCCGCCCGGCGGTTGGGCCAACATCATTTCCGGCTCGAGGTGCGTCAGGAACTACATCTCCCAGCCTGCCCCGGGGCACGGCCGTCCGCTCGGGCCCAGCCTGACCCGAGGCGGGTTCGGCAGCTCTGAGCCCGCGCGCGCGCGCGCGCTGCCTTGGGTGGGACTGAGCATGCGCATGGAGCACGGATGGCGCATGCTCAATTGCACCCGCTGAAGCCGCAGTGCCCTCACTCTGCCCTGACTTGGCCCTAAACGCCTGGGCGGGGCCGGGGGAGGGGCGGAGTCTGGGCAGGGGGCGGACACTGACTGTGCGGGGGGGGGGCTCAAACAGCTGGAGGCGGGGAGAGGGGAGGGGCCAAATCAGGGGTTGGGGCGGGGGGAGCTGGGGCTAAGCGGGGGAGGGGCAGAACCCCGGGTGGAGGAGGGGCGAGGGGGGTTTTTTTTATCCCCCCCCCAAGCACAGCCCCCGCTTCCCAGGGCCCGGGGCTTAAAGGCCACCAGGGGTCACTGCCTCGGTGTCGGGGGGGGGTGCCCCACTTAGCCAGCAAGGGTCACTGCCCAAATCGTGGACACCCCCCCCGGCCAGCAGAGGTCACTGCAGGAGTTGGGGTGCTATACCCAGGATAGTGCCCCATGTGGAGGCCAGAGATCATCCCCCCCATGCCCCCCGCCCATGTGTGGGGCTGGGGCTGGGGGATACACACAGGGCACTGGCCCATGGGGCTACAGTGGGTGAGGGGCTTACAGGGCACTGGCCCATGGGGTTACCAGCGTCATTATCCTTTGCGGGAGGAAGGGGGGGCAGGGAGGAATACATGCAGGACACTGTCCCTCCTGGCCCCAGGAGTCATTGCATCAATGTGGAGGGGGGTGGGGGGGACACCCAGGGCATCGGATCTGGGGTCTGGTCCCAGCAAGGCTGCAGGGCATGGCCCTGCAACTCCCCCTCAACTGCCCGGCTGGGGGTGAAGAAGCTCAGGGCTGCCCTGTGCTCCCCCCCTCATATGTCCATCGAGGTTGGCCCAGGATTGGCGCAGCACCAGACAGGGTGCTGGCCTTCTCACTTCCTGCCGCTCAGGGGTTTCCCAGTATGGGGGACGCCAGCGGGTGATTTACTGCCCTCATCGGCCCCAGCCGTTAACATCCAGCCTCCGCTGCTCCCTGCCCAGGGCCGGCTCTACCTTGTTTGCTGCCCCAAGCAGCGAAGATAAAAAAAAAGCTGCCACCCGCTTTCCACCGAAGAGGGAACCGGAGGAGCCACCGCAGTGACCCGCTCAGACCGCCCAGGAAGCCGCCCTTTCCCGTTTGCTACCCCAGGTACCTGCTTGCTAGGCTGGTGCCTAGAGCCGGCCCTGTCCCCGCCACAGGCTCTCTCCACTGCATTTTCTATCCAGGTTCCTTAATGGGCCCCATCCCCCTGGTAGCTGGGAGCAGCCATCTCCCCCCTTGGCTTTTCAGCCCTGAAACCCTCCAGGTCCCTCTCACAACATACGATCCTTTTTCTCGTTCACCCCACTCAGTCACTGGGCCAGCACCCGGAGCACGTCCAAGGAGAGGTGGAGACGACACCCGACACCCGTTCAGCTCATGCTCAAATAAATTGGTTAGTCTCTAAGGTGCCACAAGTACTCCTTTTCTTTTTGCGAATACAGACTAACACGGCTGTTACTCTGAAACCTAGAATTAGTGTGTTACCCTTTTTCTAGTCACTTACAATAGCATCACTAATTAATTAACAGTGTCTGGCTTTTACCAGATCTATCTTTCGGCTACCTTAAATTGAAATACCTTCTACACCCTCATTGGCTATTTAAAATTTTCACTAAAGTTAATGTTTAAAATCACATTTACACAAGTGAAGAAGGAAGGTACTGTACCTCTGGGGTCAGGCTTGGGTTATGAGGGATTACAGGTGTTGGTTACAAGGTTCATAAGATGCATACATAGCACATAACCAGCAGAGACCCAGATTGGGGTGCGGGAGTTTTTAAAACATCAGTGACAGGTTTCAGAGGAACAGCCGTGTTAGTCTGTATTCGCAAAAAGAAAAGGAGTACTTGTGGCACCTTAGAGACTAACCAATTTATTTGAGCATGAGCTTTCGTGAGCTACAGCTCATGCTCAAATAAATTGGTTAGTCTCTAAGGTGCCACAATTACTCCTTTTCTTAAAACATCAGTGGATAAGTGATGTAGGGTACGCCACCCATAGACTCTATTCAGAGTCCAAGTCAGTGTTGGTGTAGTGAATCAGTACATGGGTGGGGTGCGTCCCTTGGTTCATCAGGGAAGGAAGTGGGTTGTTTCCCTGACCAGCGTTCTCGATTACTTGACCTGGTGTTAGGGGACTTATTCCTTCACCCACTTACTTCCCTGGTCCTTCTCGCATGAACAGAGAGCAACAATACCCTAAGTCCAAAGGTGCAAACAATTCAATATTTATTGGGGTGAACTTCCAGCAAGCATGATTCCAGGTTCCTTCCCTAGTGTCCCCCTTCCCAGCTCTGACACCACAGAGCCTTACACCTGTGTTCCTGTTCCCATTCCTGCCCTTAGCCAAACACGATTCCAATTTCCCCACCCCCATTCCCTGTTCCCATTTCCCCCACCCACACACCCCCACTTCCTGATTGACTACAGACTATATAGTAAAACTTGAGTTCTGCTTAGCTATACCTTAACCAATCATTTTCCTGAAATTTAACTAACCAATTCTAACATATTGTAACATGATTATGTAACCAGTTATATCCCACCACCTTAATTAGTTTACACCCAGCAAATTAATTATACAGCAAACAGGAACAATCACAGCACCAGACAGAGATTATATAGACAAACAATAGCAAAGTGGGAACTATAATGACAAAACACTATAGAAGTGAGGATTTCACATCCCAGCTATTGATAAGTGAGTTCTTGCCAGACAGGATGCTCTCAAACTAAGTTTCCTTTTACATTTTCTAGGCACTTCCCTTTCTCTGGAGGCGATAGGCATTATCAGGACAGGATTGTATTCCTAACAGCCCAATAGCACCTTCTTTCAATGTGACTAGTTTGGAATGTGAGGAGGTGACCGGTCGCTTCCCAGCTCATGGCTGCCTCTGCTGCTTAGCCAAAGGCCTTAGCCTAAGAACAGGGCCTCAGACTGTTCGGTGAGAGAAGGCCCTTACACCGGCAGACAGTGATTTTGATTCTTTCTTTTATACCTCTAGAACTAGCTAAGTGATAAGAATACACCTAAATTCTTAGAGTACAGGCCTTTACCGACAGGCCTGAATATCTATATCCTAACACCTGGTACTGTCGGTGTCCCATGATGTGCTCTGTGTGTATGTCTTTGGACCACCTGATGGTGTCAGACACCATGAGCGGGCTGTATTTCAGCACCTTCCGAGCTCGGGCCTCGTGGAAGGCCAATGATCTGTTTTCGAATGGCACAGTGACGTCCACCATGAGGATCTTCTTCTCTTCCGCATCAGTCACGACAATGTCGGGTCGCAGCCGGCTGTTCATTTCAGGGACGGTGACCTTCCCCAGGGACGGCGGGATGGTGCTGGCATCCACTGTGGCTGTGCCGCCAGGCTCCGGAGTGGTGCTGGCATCCACACAGGACGTGGGGCAGGGTCTCGTTGGGGTAGCCGCACTTCCTGCCGCGCTTGTCCCGGTTGCTCCGTTGAGGGGTAAGTGCCATCCCAGTAATTAGCACCACAGACAGCCACCTTTCGTCTAGAAGAGTCATTAAGACCCAGATCTGTTTACAACATGCCCTGGGGGCTTGTCCTAACTTATCGCTAACTCGCCTCCAACCTCGAGTCTCACGCCACTTCACCCGCTTTGCTCAGCGTTTTTTTTTACGTCTCCAGCACATTTAAGGCCGTTTGACATAACTCTTAAAAACCCGACTTCCAAATGCTGGTTGTACTGATTTCCATCGGCCGCACTGAGCCTGCGGAGACACTGGTGCGGGTTGCACACCGGACCCAACCCTGGCGCCCTTCTGGCCTCTGGGAAAGGGGGTTGGTTGCTGTCTCCCCGGGGCAGCGGCGGGGGGGGGCGCTGAGGAGGTTCAGACGGGGATACAGGACCCCACACCTCGGCGCCAAGTTTGGGCAGGAAGCAGAAGACTACAACTCCCAGCATGGTATGGGGTGCCACCGAGGCAGGAGCATGTGGGTCTGAGTGCAGTGGGTGAGTCGGGGGCAGCCGTGGGGCTGAGAGGGGGCGGGCAATGAGCCGTGCCCGGGGTGGGGTGGGAGCCCCAGTTACCAGGAGGGTGAACTGAGGGGCGTCCCTTCTGCCGGAGCCCCAGGGAGCAGCTGGGGGGCAGCCCCTGCCTGGGGCGAAGGTGTTGGGAACACTGGGGCATGGCCACTAGGTAACTCGAGGGGATAAAAGACCACGAGTGTCAATGAAGCCCCCTTGCACTAGGCCCAGGTGTCCTTGGCCCCCCTCCCGCCTGGAGGCACTCGCAGCAACTCTGCGTACTAGGCCCAAGTGTCCTTGGCCCCCCCGGCTGGAGGCACACACAGCAGTTATGCTGAGAATCTGCAACAATATGCTGCAAAGTCAGACTGCCTAAAACTAAGCAAGGCCACACAGGGCAAATATAAAAAAAACAATGCTGAATAAAGCAGCTTTATATATAGTTTAACAAATAATACAAAAAATAAAAAAACTAGCTAAAAACTGAATTGGCTGGCTATATAAATACTTAGGGCAGCTTGCTATTAAATAAATATGCTAAAAAAAAATGTATAAAAGCCTATGTAACTTCCTGCTCTATATACAAAATTTAAAATTCAAATCTCCCTGTACCTATTTAAAGCTTCAAATAAACTTTTCTGCTTCTCCACCCCGTTGTAAATATTGGGTGTAGCACACCGGGTAACAAACCAACTTCAGCTGTTGTTTAGCCTCTTGGCACTAGGTGCCAGCAACAAAGGGACTGAGACCCCCACCCCCTGCCCTGCTGTGCTGGTCAGAGACCAGTGTCCTGGCCCCACGGAGGGGGAATATCCCCCGCAGTGTCAGCTGGAAACAGGGTTATCTTTCACTTCCTGACCCTGTAAACCCGCTAGAGAATGCGAGGGACAGTTGAAATACCTGGTTACTTGCGGATCAGAAGTAAACTTTCTTTATTTCTTTAAGAATCAGATGTGTTAGCACATAACAAACCCTGTTTAGGATATATCTGGAATAAGTATAAATGGTTTAGTCTTGGTATTGGGGCACTTGGGTGTATTTTTTTGCCGGTTAGCAAACAAGAAAAAAAAACCCATTGATACGAGAACACATCAGTATCGACACCCATCCCAGGAAGTGGGGAGTCACCCACGAGAGCTACGGCACTTAGTTGATAAGGTGTCACCGGGCCCTTTGCTGCTTTTACAGATCCAGACTAACCCGGCTACCCCTCTGACACTTATTGATGTTGTTGTAACCAAAGAGGAAGGTTGCATCCTGTGGGCTCAGAAATGACCTGATATTATCGTGCAGAAATAGCAGAAACTCGTGTTGCTAGAGACACATTTGATTAATTGTAAAAACCTCCGAGTTATTAGTAGAAAGCACTTTTGAAGGACTGAAGGGCAGCAACTCTAAAAGTTCTTGCACTGCTCTTTCTTTTCCATTTTTCTCAATATTCCCAAGGTTTCCAGACTAGGCCTCACAAACATACACACATAAAAATCCCCCTCCTCCATGTCCCTTACATCTCTATAAATAATCCTTACACTCTACCCCAGAGGCAGCTGCACCTCAGTGCTGGGCAAGGGATCCCTGTTGGTGTAACTACTTTGTCTGGAGTCAGTGGTGGGAAGGTTTTGGGGATATGGGTGCCAAACTCTTTACAAAAGTTTTTCCCCTGGTGACTATGGCAGCGTGACGGCATGTGGGGAATCTGCTGAGTGTCTGTGAGATGTGGCCAAAGTCCACTCAGGCTTTGGACGTGTTTTGTGCCTGTGAACGGGGTAGGAGCCTGTTCTAGTGAGGAGGCAGGAGGGGAAAAGTGGGGGGTAGTTATGGGGGTGTGGGTGAGGGGAGGGTTTGGACGGAGTGGCTGGGAGAGATCTAGGGGTGAGGGGCAATGGGGAACTTTGGCGGGTTGTGGCATTTGCAGGGAGTTTTTGGGTAGCGGGAAGGCTGGGCGGGAGCGAGAGAGGCCTGGGCCCCAACTCACATCCCCTGCTTTGCCTGTTCCCAGCCGCGCTGCAGGATGACGGCCCCAGGGAAGCTGCGGGTGGTGGTGATCGGGGCAGGAGCAGCCGGGCTGTGCGCAGCCCGTCACATTGCTGCCTGCCCCGAGTCCTTTGCGCCCCCCGTGGTGTTCGAGGCATCCGGCCGCGTCGGGGGCACCTGGGTCTATACCGAAGAGACGGGGCAGAGCCCGGACGGGCTCCCCATCCACTCCAGCATGTACCGGGACCTCAGGTAGCCAGCATGGGGCCGCAAGCGTCATGTGTTTCTGGGCACCAGGCAGGGTCAGAGGAGTTGTTCCTAGCGTCAGAGTCCCATGAGCTTGCCAAGCCTCCAAGTATTCGTGGGGGTAGGATCCCCTCCCCTGAGACCAGCCCCCCCATCTTCCCAGGGGGTCTATCTCCTCACTGCCCCCTCTCCACACCTCCCTCATTCCCCGCTGCAGCTGGGGCACCCTCTGCTACCCACATGGGCCAGTCCTGGGGATGCCGAGCCCTGGAAGGAGCAGGCAGGTGCAGGAGGGGTCGGGGACCTTGTGAGGGGAGGGCAGCACATCCCTCCTGGCGGGGGGGGGGGTGTTAACCGGTGTTTGCACCCCCAGGACCAACCTGCCCAAGGAGGTGATGGCGTTCCCAGACTTCCCCTTCGACCCCTCTGTGACGAAGTGGGACTGTTCTTAATGTTTCCTCTGAATAGTGTGGGGGTGCCTCAGTTTCCCCTAGGCAGTTCTTAAGTATCTAGGGGGTGGAGTAAGGGTGTATGATCATTGCAGAGCCCTAGAGGGCAGGTGTGTGCAGGGGTCTGGACACAGAGAAGGGCCGACACCCTGTTTCCTGGCAACTGATGGCCTGGGCCCTTTCCCCCCTGCAAGGTGAGAGCTGAAGGGTTGGAGAACAAAGGAATCAGGTGACCACCTGGCCCGGGAAAGGAACAAAGCCCAGAGGAGGAGGGGCTGGAGGGGGTTTTCAGTTTGGGGCTGTCTGGGACATGGAGTGAAGTGCAGACGTGGTTGTCTGGCTCACTGCCCCCCAGAATGGACCCAGCTGAGGGGTCCCGTTCTCTGCACCTGCAAGCTCTGTTTTAGACCATGTTCCTGTCATCTAATAAACCTTCTGTTTTACTGGCTGGCTGAGAGTCACGTCTGACTGCGAAGTTGGGGTGCAGGACCCTCTGGCTTCCCCAGGAGCCCCGCCTGAGCGGACTCGCTGGGGGAAAGCGCACGGAGGGGCAGAGGATGCTGAATGCTCCGAGGTCAGACCCAGGAAGGTGGAAGCTGAGTGAGCTGCGTGTCCTGAAGACAGGCTGCTCACAGAAAGGCGACTGCCCCAGAGTCCTGACTGGCTTCATGGGGAGCAGTTCCAGAGCATCGCCCAGGGACTCCGTGACAACTGGTGGCAGCGGTGGGATGTACTGCACCCCATGGATGGTGCTTCCTGCAGTAAGTGACTGGGGAGCAGTAACACAAAGGGGGATTGCCGAGGACCAGGCCTGCTGAAGGCTCAGAGAGGAGCGGTTTCGGGGGGCGGTTAACCCCTGGGAGTGTGTGACCAGCGAGAAGGACTGTGCAGTAACAGGGTTCCCCTGGGGACTGCAGTGAGCAGTCTCAGGGGCGGAGGAGTCTGCAGCTCGACCCTGGCAAAGAGGTGGTGACCTCGAGAAGGGCTGGCACACTAGGGGTTCTCCCTGGAAACCGTGGGGAGCTGAGAACACACTGGCCTGTGAGTCCAAAACAACTTGGGAGGAGCGGAGTGATGGCCTGTCACCGTCTCCTTAAGAAGGACATTGTAAACCTGTGCAAAAAGAGAGGGTTGAGCGTTGGAAAGTTCACCAAAGCAGAGTTAATCGTGCAGCTGGAGGAGGATGACCGCTCTAAGGAACAGATTCCTGACCCCAACTGGGGCTATAGCAGGATCTGGGAGCAGCTGGAGCGGGAGCCAGGCATCGCCAAGACTCCTGTCCCCGACCAGACGGGGGTCTTCACGGTCGGGTTCCCCATCGGGGGATCGAGACGGACGGGATTGGAGCTGAGTCTGAGAGAGCAAGAGGACTGTGGGAGACAGCGAGAGACCAAGAAAGAGCTGCAGAAGCAGCAGCAGCATGAACTGGCGGTGGTGGGGCGGAGAGGCCTAGGGGACCTCCCAGGGGTGAGTGGGGATAGATCCCGGGGGGCCAGTTCCGCAGGGAACCTCGAGACTAAATTGCTGCCCCTGGTTAAGGAGGGGGGGTGTGGATGCCCACCTCACTGCCTTTGAGCAGGCTGGCGATTTGAACGAAGGGGACCCTGCGGAAAAGCCCCGGTGTCTAGCTCCCTTGCTGGGTCCCAAGGCCATAGACTCCGTCAGCCAGATGGTTGGGGATGTGGACAGGCTCCCACTCCTGACCCCAACCTATATGTCTGTGTGGAGTTTCCTGGGGCCAGGCCCCCCGGACCTCCAGTGGGAGCAGAAGGTGATGGTCAATGGGGAGACATTCTTGGGGTGGCCAAAGGGCATGGGCTGCATAAACCTTCCCACATGCGACCTGCGAGTGCTATCAACCACCCCTGACCTAAGGGAGGGTGTGAAAGTGGAAGGGCCTGGTGTAACTCCTACCAAGGAATGGGAGAGATGCTGGGGCATCCATGGGAACGTTGGTGGCTTCGAACTTCCCCAGGTCACCGGCTAAAGTGACCCCGCTCAGTTCGATCTCGAAGGGGGGAGAGATGTGACGAAGTGGGACTGTTCTTAATGTTTCCTCTGAATAGTGTGGGGGTGCCTCAGTTTCCCCTAGGCAGTTCTTAAGTATCTAGGGGGTGGAGTAAGGGTGTATGATCATTGCAGAGCCCTAGAGGGCAGGTGTGTGCAGGGGTCTGGACACAGAGAAGGGCCGACACCCTGTTTCCTGGCAACTGATGGCCTGGGCCCTTTCCCCCCTGCAAGGTGAGAGCTGAAGGGTTGGAGAACAAAGGAATCAGGTGACCACCTGGCCCGGGAAAGGAACAAAGCCCAGAGGAGGAGGGGGCTGGAGGGGGTTTTCAGTTTGGGGCTGTCTGGGACATGGAGTGAAGTGCAGACGTGGTTGTCTGGCTCACTGCCCCCCAGAATGGACCCAGCTGAGGGGTCCTGTTCTCTGCACCTGCAAGCTCTGTTTTAGACCATGTTCCTGTCATCTAATAAACCTTCTGTTTTACTGGCTGGCTGAGAGTCACGTCTGACTGCGAAGTTGGGGTGCAGGACCCTCTGGCTTCCCCAGGAGCCCCGCCTGAGCGGACTCGCTGGGGGAAAGCGCACGGAGGGGCAGAGGATGCTGAATGCTCCGAGGTCAGACCCAGGAAGGTGGAAGCTGAGTGAGCTGCGTGTCCTGAAGACAGGCTGCTCACAGAAAGGCGACTGCCCCAGAGTCCTGACTGGCTTCATGGGGAGCAGTTCCAGAGCATCGAGGAGGGGTCGGGGACCTTGTGAGGGGAGGGCAGCACATCCCTCCTGGCGAGGGGGGGGGGGTGTTAACCGGTGTTTGCACCCCCAGGACCAACCTGCCCAAGGAGGTGATGGCGTTCCCAGACTTCCCCTTCGACCCCTCCCTGCCGTCCTTCCTGCACCACTCGGACGTGCTGGCCTATCTGGAAAGCTACGCCGACCACTTCTGTGTCCGAGAGCATATCAGGGTGAGTGGGGGGGCTGGGCGGAGCAGAACGCCTGGGGATCCCTATTGCCTGCCCCCCAGAGACGGAGCCTGAGCACGGAGCTGGGCCCTGGCTGGCAGGACGCGGCCCCCTAGGAGCACAGACCAGACCCCCCGAGGGGTACAGACCAGCCCCTCCACCCAGAGACCAGGCCTGAGCACGGAGCTGGGCCCTGGCAGGACACGACCCCCAACTCCCTCCACCCAGAGACCGGGCCTGAGCACAGAGCTGGGCCACGGCTAGGGGTGCCAAGTTTCTATTGGCACAAAACCAAACACCCTACCCCCGCCCCTTCCCCGAGGCCCCCTCTTCCCCGAGTCCCCATCCCCCCGCTCACTGCATTCCCCCTCCCTCGGTGGCTCGCTCCCCCTCACTCACTTTCACGGGGCTAGGGCAAGGGGTTGGGGTGCAGAAGGGGTAGGGCTGGGGATGAGTGGTTCCGGGTGCGGGAGAGGGCTCTGGGCTGGGGATGCGGGCTCGGATTCAGGAGGGGGCTCCAGGTTTGGGCGGGGCTCGGGGCTGGGGTGTGGGAGTGGGTACAGGCTCTGGGCTGGGGCCAGGGATGAGGGGTTTGGGGTGTAGGAGGGGGCTCTGGGTTGGGGGGGTTCAGAGCTGGGGCAGCAGGTTGGGGTTTGGGATTGGCGTGCAGGCTTACCTCGGGCAGCTCCCGGTCAGCGGCACAGCGGGGCTAAGGCAGGTTCCCGGCCGATGGGAGTGTGGAGCCGGTGCTCGGGGCAGGGGGAGCCGGTGCCACGGAGCCCCCCGCTCCCCACACACCTAGGAGCCGGACCGGCTGGCTGCTTCCGAGGTGCAGCGCGGTGCTCCAAGGGACACGCCTGCCTTAGCTCTTCAGCCCTGAGGACTGGACCTTCAACGGCCCAGTCGGCAGTGCTGACCGGAGCCGCCAGGGTCGAAAACCGGACACCTGCTCGCCCCGGCAGGACGTGACCCCCCCCCAGAGACACAGCCGAGACCCTGCCCAGCCAAGGCCCCTGCATGGGCTGCTCCGGCAGTCCCCGTCTGAGGTTGTTACTGTTCGCCGCCCGGATCTGACCTGTCCTGTCTCCCCTTCCAGTTCTCGTGGCTGGTGGATGCCGTGAGCCCGGCCGAGGGCCCTGAGGGCGGCTGGGATGTCACCACCTGCCGGGCCCAGGACCGGACGGTGCAAGTGACCGAGCGCTTCGATGCTGTAATCGTCTGCAGCGGGTGAGGCCCTCGGGCAATCGCGTGGGGTGGGGGGGTCGCTCCCAGTTTCCTGCTGCTGCTCCCCCGGCCCTGCGGGCGCCTCGGAGCTGCTGGCAAAGGGGCTGAGCAGGGTCACTCGCCAGGGTGGGTGGGTGCGTGGGGGGGGGGTTCCCGGCTCTGCAGGGGGGGCTGTGTGCTCTGCAGAGGCCTCTCCCCTGGGTGCAAGGGTCCCTAGGGGTGTGCAGAGGGTGGCTGTGGGGAAGCCCAGACCTGGGGGGGGGGTAAAAAACCGTGGCTGTGGGGGAACCCAGGGTGTTGGGGGCAGTCATGGACCAGTCCCTGGGGTGTCAAGGGGGAGCCCCAGAAAAACCCCTCCCCAGGGGGTGAGCAAATTTCTGGTCCTGGGCTGGAGTTTGGAGACTCCCCCCTCCCTGGGGGGCCTCTGTAAGTAAATGGGGGGCCCCAGGCCCCAAAGGGCAGCCCCAAGGAAGCAGTAATAGGGTCCCTCTTTCTGCTCCCTTTGCAGTCACTACTCCGACCCCTTCATCCCCGCCATCCCCGGCCTGGAGACCTTCCCAGGTAAGAGCCTCCTGTGACCCGCCCTTTGCTCTGGGCTCCGGGCATGGGCTGCCCTGGCAAATACAGCAGGAGGGAGACGCTCTATGGGGTCGGGCAGCCCTGTGCGTGGGGAACCCCCGCGGCTCCCCTTTTCACCCCCTCTCCCTCCCCCCAGGCCGGCTGCTGCACAGCCACGAATACCGCGGCCCGGAGCCCTTTGCCGGCCGCACCGTGGTGCTGCTGGGGGCCGGCCCGTCCGGCGTGGACCTGACGCTGCAGCTGGCCCCCGTGGCCCAGCGGGTGATCCTGAGCCACCGGCAGCCCCCGCTGCCCCCGCTGCCCGGGAACGTGCTGCAGGCAATGCCGGCGGTGGCCGTGGCCGGGGACACGGTCCAGTTCGGGGACGGCGCCGAGCACAGGGCCGACGTCCTCATCCTCTGCACCGGGTACCGGTACCGCTTCCCCTTCCTGGCGTCCGCCCGCCTGGGCCTGCGGATCACGGCCCACACGGTGACGCCGCTGTATCGGCACCTGCTGCCCCCGCACCACCCTGACCTCTTCTTCATCGGGGTCTGCCAGCAGATCTGCCCCTTCCCCCACTTCCACTGCCAGCTGCTCTTCTGCCTGGCGGTGCTGCGGGGCGCCTGCCGCCTGCCCTCCGCTGCCGAGAGGCAGGCGGCCGCCGAGGGGGAGCTGCGGCAGCACCTCGCGGCCGGCGGGGCCCCCAGGCACTTCCACCAGCTGGGGCGGCGGCAGTGGGGTTACTGCCAGGAGCTGGCGCGGCTGGGCGGGTTCGAGCCCCTGCCCCCGGTGGTCAGGAAGCTCTACGAGGCCACGCAGGCGAGCCGCAGGCAGGACGTCTCCAGCTACCGGAGCCTCAACTACAGGGTGTTGAGTGCTGAGGAGTGGGCGCTGGTGGGCGCTGACCCTGGGGGGAAGGGGGCTGAAGATGGGCGATGAGGGGGACCCCAGGCGGGGGGATTTAACTGCCCCTTTCTGCACAATGGGGACAGCCCAGAGGGGCAGGGGGCAACGCCAACACCCACGTCGTGCCATGCTCCCGCCCGCGCCACGCTCCCGGACTGGCCCCGGTCTTCGGCTGAGGGTTAGCGGGCGGGTCATCGTCTGACCCAGCCAGTGCCGCCGGAGCCCCTTCCCCTTCCCTAGGATGCCGGGGGCTCGGCCAGCCCTCCCACCACACCCGAGCAGGGATAAAATCCCCAGGAGCATCGGGGCCGGTGGGGAATCGGCGCCGTTAGCACGAGGAGCCGAAACCTCGGTCTTGGGCGGTTTGATAGGAAAGAAATGAGCAAATAAAGTCTAAAAACTGAACCTGCTGCCCCATGGACGTTAGCTGGGGCGGGGGGAGGGGAGCATGAGGGGAATCACCCCTCACTGCCCCATGGTCTGTGATGGGGGAGGGGCAAACGGGCATAGTCCACTGTCAGCTCCTCTCCCCTGGGCACAGGGCTCGATGCCTGGCGCAAACCCAGTCTCACCTCCCTGACTGGCACGGGGCTGGTGGTCTCTGATTTGGACCGAGTTCAGACCAGCTCAGATACCAGCCTGGCCATGGGGATCTGTGCCCCCCATGATCCCCCTAATCCCTCTGGGACCTGTGTATGGAGGGGGCGACCATCCCAGCGGGCAGTGGGCCCTGTTGTGATAACCCCTCCCCGCCCCCACAGGGCTCTGTGATCAAAGGACTAGAGCACCCCTTCCTAGACATAGACAGCCCCATAAATAACCCCCTATAGACACTATGAACACCACCCCAACAGGCGCACACAAACATCCTCGACAGCCCAGATAGAGACACCCTTCCAAACATCCCTTCTAGACACACAAGCACCCTATATAAACAAGTGCCCCCCCCCAGACGCTCCCTATAGATACAGGCAGACACCCCATAAAAACTCTTGTAGAACCACAGACCCCATGAACAGCCCCCAAAAACACACATACTAGGATCTCCCCCATAGTCACGCCCCCAGACAGACACAGCCCATCAATAATCCCATATGCACACCCACACACCCACCATAGACAGCCCTACAGACCCCCCAAACACCACCCTAGACACATGCTATAAACGCCCCATAGACATGCAGACACTCCTGGACCAACCCAGCCCACCCGCCAATGGACACGCTCACACATAAACCAAACCAGTTCACAGGCCAGGTGCTCTGCTGCTGGGCCTCCTGCCCTCTATTCAGCAAAAGGCACCAGAATCAGGGGCAGTGGGGTGAGTGGAAGGGCTGGGAGCTCAGGGGGGGTGGAGGGGCAAGCACCCGGGGGGGGGTATTAGCAGCCATGCTTCTTGCCTGAGGGCCCCCACCCCGGCAGTGCCCCCAGTGACCTGCAGCGTCACACTTGCCTCTTGCTTCAAAATTATTATTTATTTGCTGCTGCTGTAAAAGAACCAGCCCCATCAGAGCTGGAAATGAGTCACTGCAAATACAAGGATCAAGCCCCAGGGTCCAGGCACAGCCCCTCCCCTGTCCAACCCCTCAGAGTCTCCTGCATTATTACTACAGCCCCCCCCCCCCGCATGCACGCACGCACACACACGCCCCCCCCCCCCCCACCGCCTGTTCCTCCTTCCACGGGGGAGGTTCCTGGCTGCATGCCCAGCCCATGCTGGCAGAGGCCTGTGGAGGGGAAGGGCAGGGGGGGCAGCCCCCTGAATACCACCGTCTGGCACGACGTGCTTATTACCTCCTGTGCCGGCGCTAAAGTGCAAATGTCACAAAGTGGCTGAGTTCCGGCCCCTTTGCCAGGCCACGGGGCTCCACTGTGTCCTGGCATCTCGAGCGAGCAAACACCCCCCGTCCGAAGTCGGGTGGCATTAACTCCATTGCACCGCCAGGGAACCCGAGCCGGTTAGGGGGGACAGGATTTGGCACGCGCTTGGCAGAAGCCCAGGAGTTCTGGCGTCACCCTCCGTTCCCACCAAGAGTCAGGCCCCGAACCCGAGTCCTGGCTCCCCGCCCTAACCAGCTCCCGGGCTGCTGCGGCTCTCCTGAGCCGCCCGCCCAGCCTGGCCGCTCCCCTGGGCTGCCACAGAGACTCTTCGAAACCCCGGGGCAGAGTCAGGACTGGCCAGGCCGATCAGTTAAAGGCCAGAATTTCAGGCTCCCAGAGGGTCACCCCCGCAGCAGACAAAACTTCTTTGATGCACCCAGATGGGAGCTGCGCTCCTGTGAAATCTGGCCTCACAAAACCCTGGCCTGCCCCGTGCAGCTTAAAGCCCGTTTCAGCGGGGCTTGGCTGGCACAGGCTGCATGTCTGATGCTCAAGCTCTGGGTTTGGTTCCACCCCGGTGCTGGCCCAGACAGGACACTGGGGTTCAGACGCTGCTCAGAGTAGAAATGCCCGTGTGATGACCGACAGCCGGGGACGGAACTGGGGACCCCTGGAGCCCAGAGCAGGAGCGGCCGCTGCTCAAGCCCTGAGTCATCCTTGGCACCGGGGTGGGGCGGTTTAACCGCAAGCGCTTGCTGCTCGGGGGGGAAATTCCTGCTGCCTTCGCCAGGAGCCTCGGCGTGAAACCTCAGGGCAAACCCCATCAGCACACCCGACGGAAACGCTGCACTATGCTGGCCCCCGGGCTGCAGTGGAGGCCTGGGATGGTGAGACGCCTCCCCATGCCACAACCCTGCAGGCTCAGCCCCAATTAACACCCCCCTCTGCCCAATTTCACACACACGCACCCCTGAGCAGCCCTCGCTGCATGGAGAGGCAGCTGCGAGCCGGGCTGGGGGAAAGGGGAGCTCGGGGTCTCTGGGCCCCATGATGAGGAGATGGGGCTGCGAGCCCTGGGCAGCTCAGGGTGACAGTTCACAGCTGGGCCCTTGCTGATTATAACACCTCCCACGGGTTAACAGTCTGGTGAGAACAAGAAGGGACCCATGCGAAGCTCTGAGCAGAGTTAAAGGGCAACGAGCACTACATTTCCCTAGCCAAGAGACTGCCACCGCCAGCTCCCAGTGCCACCCAAGCCCACAACGCCCCCGTCCCACCGCCCAGTGCAAACCCAGCCTGTGACGTCCCAGCACCTGGCACAAACCCAGCCTGCGACGTCCCAGCGCCCGGCACAAAACCAGCCTGCGACGTCCCAGCGCCCGGCACAAAACCAGCCTGCGACGTCCCAGCGCCCGGCACAAAACCAGCCTGCGACGTCCCAGCGCCCATCGTAACCCAAGCCGGCGACACCCCCGTCCCAGCACAAACCCAGCCTGGGATGCCCAAATACCAAACTGCACACCTCCCTCGCTCCCAGCCCTGCTCATGCATGTCCCACTGCCCTGTGCCTTGCCCAGGGGAGCCCAGCCCCATGGCCGGTTAGCTCCTGGGCTCCCTGTTGGGGCTGCCCACCAGTGGGGTGCTGTTAGGCAAAGACATGGTGTTCTGCAGGTAGACGCATTGCCCAAGTGCAGTCTGGGAGCGGCTCTGCCCCTCGGCGCTGTCACTGTGGAAGCCCCAGGCCTTGCGCAGATTATCCATCACCACCATGCGCTGGAAGGTCTCGGTGGCGAAGTAATAGGCCAGCGGGTCCAGGGCCGCGTTGGCGGAGGCCACCAGCAAGGTGCAGCGGTAGGAAAAGTCCAGCATGTCGCCCTGCAGGGCATCCACCTGGTAGCAGATCAGCACCAGGTGGAAAGGCAGAAAGCAGCCTAGGAAGATGGTGATGTTGGCCACAATCATTCTGCGGATCTTGGCGCTGTTCACCAGCTCCATCTGGGCGGCCGCGCTGCGCTGGATGGCTCGGAGCAGGGCCCAGGAGCAGACCACCATGACCAGCAGCGGCAGGACGAAGCACAGAGCCATGGCCGAGGACACGCTGGGCTGGGTGACGTACTTGGGCTTGTTGTCGAAGCAGTGGTCCCACGGCGGCTCCTTCCCAGGCTGGGTGAAGTAGGTGGGGACGGTACCGGCGCAGCTCAGCAGCCAGACGCCCAGGCAGATGTACTTGGCCTGTTTGCGCAGCGCCTTGACCCGGGGGTGCAGGGGGAAGCAGACGGCCATGCAGCGGTCCCCACTGATGCAGGTCAGCAGGAAGATGCTCCCGTACATGTTGACCAGCAGCAGCAGCCCCGTGATCTCGCAGACCTGGACTCCCAGACTGGGCCGCCCGCTATAGTAATAGATCCGGACGGGCAGCGACACCACTAGCAGCAGGTCAGAGACGGCCAGGTTCTTCATGTAGACAGTGGTGAAGGAGCGGACGCTGCTGCAGCGGAAGAAGATGTAGAGGGCGGCCAGGTTGAGCACCAGCCCCAGCGTGAAGATGAGGGCGTACAGCCCCACGAAGACTGGGTCCGCCAAGCTGCTGTTGCTGCTGTAATTGGAGGTCATCTTGCTGCAAAGCTCCAGGCCACGCGAGGGACAAGCTGGGGCAGTGTCCCACGAGGGTCAGGGAAACATCGGCCCCACTGAGCACCAGATGCTGCCCCACACGTGGCTTCGTGACCCACGATCTCTCCGAGCGCTGCCCGTCTTCAACCTAGGAGAAATCAGGGAAGAAGTGAGTGCGTCCCACCGGCCGTGGGGTCAAAGAGGAGCCCGGGATTAAATAGATTTGTGGGAACATTCTGGGGTCTCATATCGCCCCAGCACCGGGCTCCTGCATACAACCCAGATCTGAGGAACTATAAGAAAGAGATGCCTAATTTCCAAATGCTGGAGAATTCGCCCCCATCCCTGAGTCAGTTAGCCCCTGTATGTTCATGGCATGCATGTGCAGACGCACACACACGTTAGATAAAAACATAAAATACCCTTGCTGTAGGGTTGCAAAGCAACATGAGTTTACTTCTTAGAATCCAGAGCCCTGTCACACACAAACCGAAACAGAGAGAGAGAAAGCAGGCTGCTCCATAAGGCAGAAAGGCCCAACTCACCCCATTTTGTGGTAGGCTATCTGCAGACTGGCCAATGCTAGACCCAGATCTCCTGCTTCCCTACAGAGCCCCCAGCCTGCAAGTAGGACCAGGAAAACCCCTGAGTCATAGAATCATAGAATCATAGAATATCAGGGTTGGAAGGGACCCCAGAAGGTCATCTAGTCCAACCCCCTGCTCAAAGCAGGACCAATTCCCAGTTAAATCATCCCAGCCAGGGCTTTGTCAAGCCTGACCTTAAAAACCTCTAAGGAAGGAGATTCTACCACCTCCCTAGGCAACGCATTCCAGTGTTTCACCACCCTCTTAGTGAAAAAGTTTTTCCTAATATCCAATCTAAACCTCCCCCAGTCAGCAGTGTGCCCTTGTTGCCAAGAAGGCCAATGGCATATTGGGCTGTATTAATAGGGGCATAGCCAGCAGATCGAGGGAAGTGATTATTCCCCTCTATTCAGCACTGGTGAGGCCACACCTGGAGTACTGTGTCCAGTTTTGGTCCCCCCACTACAGAAGGGATGTGGACAAATGGGAGAGGGTCCAGCGGAGGGCAACGAAAATGATCAGTGGGCTGAGGCACATGACTTACGAGGAGAGGCTGAGGGAACTGGGATTGTTTAGTCTGCAGAAGAGAAGAATGAGGTGGGATTTGATAGCTGCTTTCAACTACCTGAAAGGGGGTTCCAAAGAGGATGGAGCTCGGCTGGTCTCAGTGGTGGCAGATGACAGAACGAGGAGTAATGGTCTCATGTTGCAGTGGGGGAGGTCTAGGTTGGATATTAGGAAACACTATTTCACTAGGAGGGTGGTGAAACACTGGAATGGGTTACCTAGCGAGGTGGTGGAATCTCTTTCCTTTGAGGTTTTTAAGGTCAGGCTTGACAAAGCCCTGGCTGGGATGATTTAGTTGGGGATTGGTCCTGCTTTGAGCAGGGGGGTGGGACTAGATGACCTCCTGGGGTCCCTTCCAACCCTGCTATTCTAGGATTTAAAGTGACGGCTTATAATTGCAATACAATTTTCAATACACCATAGTCCTGAGGTTAATTCCCATCCCTTCTGAAACCTTCGCTACTTCTTTTCAGTCTGAATTTGTCCATCCGTTGCATCTTGTTCTGCCTTTTCCTGTGGGATAAAGGAGAACATGAGGACCAGACATCTCTTCATTCAGCAACTTCGCAGAGAGGGTAGAAAAATCTTTTCCAGTGGAAAATGGCTTTTGGGTTGAACTGGAAATGTCCATTGTCAATGACACTTTTGGAGGATTTGTCAAATTTTCAGTTGGCCAAAACCTGTGAAAAATTTCAACATGCCCAGAAGACGTCTGTTGTTGTGGAAGCCGCCTGTGGTGAGAAAGCCTGTTTGCTCGAGCTGGTACTTACGGGCAGAGATCCTTAGGCAGCACCAGGCGGGACCGGAACCGAGGCCCGTCTTGTCTCCTGCAGCGGCAGCATCCTGGCATGAGAACTTGCGGTGGCAGCTGTGGGATAATCACCCCCCACAGTAGGTTTCTTCCTGGTCATTAACTGTCCCTCTGTGAAGCTGAAGAGAAGACACCCCATTTTCTATCGCAGGGCCGCCTGGCCCATTGTAGCCAGACTGTCTCTGTGCTGTGGACGCCCAAGTCGGGGATTAGGGCCTGCTGTGCCCAGCGCTGGGCAGACACTTTGCCCAGACAACCATCGCTGCCCAAGTGAATGATAGACAGATGGATAGACAGGGCAGTGGGCAGGAGGGGCAGGGTGAAGTCACACGAACAAGGGTGGCTAATGCAGAAAAGCAGAAGTCTCTTCAGGGAAACCACAGGCTTGAGACACAGACACATAAGAGACAAACCTGGATCTGATCCTCAGCGTTGCTGAGCGCCTGGAACTCCCCACTGCAGCTGGGCGGGGGGCCATGCGGGCGAGAGATTGCCCAGGGCCCAGTTCTGCCGAAAACCAAGCCCCTAATTTCAATCCCTAAATAGGGAGTCATCCTGTGGTTTGGGTAAGGGAAGAGATCAGAGGAGAGGATCACAATGGATCCATCTGGCCTTATGAAACCCACCCTGTACAGAGCACCACAACCAGGAGACTGCCTCGGGCTGGGCTAGCGGGGGCTGCGGGTCGGGAGTGAGGGGGACCGGCAGAGCTGGGGGGAGCCCAGGGCTGGGCTAGCAGGGGCTGCAGGTCAGGAGTGAGGGGCACCGGCAGGGCTGGGGGGAGCCCAGGGCTGGGCTAGCGGGGGCTGCGGGTCGGGAGTGAGGGGGACCGGCAGAGCTGGGGGGAGCCCAGGGCTGGGGTAGCAGGGGGCTGCGGGTTGGGAGTGAGGGGCACCGGCAGAGCTGGGGGGAGCCCAGGGCTGGGGTAGCAGGGGGCTGCGGGTTGGGAGTGAGGGGCACCGGCAGGGCTGGGGGGAGCCCAGGGCTGGGCTGGCAGGGGGCTGCGGGTCGGGAGTGAGGGGCACCGGCAGAGCTGGGGGGCCCAGGGCTGGGCTAGCAGGGGCTGCGGGTCGGGAGTGAGGGGCACTGGCAGAGCTGGGGGGAGCCCAGGGCTGGGCTAGCAGGGGGCTGCAATCCAGGATTGAGGCACACTATAATGTATTAAAATAATAATTATTTTTTAATTTTTAATTAAATTTAAATTTTAATTTTTTAATCATTATCTTTTAAAAGTAATGCTGTTATTATGCTGGGGATTGAGCAAAGCCTAATTGAAGCTGGTGGGTGTAGTAGCCATCCTGAATTCACGACAAATGTACAGAGGAACAGAGCCCCTTTGTGGAACAGTCGCTCGAAACACTAGGAGCCACCCACACAAAACCAAGCCCAAGTCTGCGGGGTTCTCCTTGGAGTGAGAAAGCTGGTTGTCGGAGGGAGAGAGCTGGGTCTGGGTCCGTGTGAAAGAGGGAGTAGAAAGGCCACAGCAGCACACAGAACTAACAGCAGGAAGTCCCAAGAGACAGCCAGAGAATCGCTGAGAAATGACGAAGAGAAGGAGCTTTTGGGCAGAGTGCTAGCTTTGTAAATAAACAGGATGGCGTCAAATAAATGCTTGAGTCCATCATCAGTTTCTCCCCCCCCCCCCCCCAGTGGAAACAACCCCTGCACTCCGAATATTGGTGAACGACTCAGGTCAACAGTGGCAACGATATTCAAGCAGGACATGAAACCACTGAATTGGTGGATGTCACTGGCTAAGCACCGGAAACCACAGTTTGTTGACGAAGTCAGCCAGCTTGTGAGGCCAGTAGTTTCTTCACGAGGTGCAGAGGGAATATTTTCTTCATTGAAGTTTATTCAGCTAGTTCAGTTCAAAGCTTTGAACAGGGGGGTTGGACTAGATGACCTCCTGAGGTCTCTTCCAGCCCTAATCTTCATGATTCTGTGTGACATGGAGTGGGAGTTGAAAAAGCAGGAAAGCTTGTTTTTCCTCTTCCAATACCTGAATAAAAACTAGGTGTGAGGATGAGATCTACTAATTCTAAAATCTTGAAGGGTGAGGTGACCAGAAACAATAAGTTCAATTCACTTGACTGCAGATACTAATAGTTCCTCTGTTTAATAAATCCATCAGTTTTAAATGCAAAACATAGTTTGAAAACTTCCTTTTTCTCTTCACGTGTCCAGCACATGTAAAATAGTTTGATTTACGCAACAAAAACAAATTTAAAATGCTGGTTTTGTGCATTGAATTCCAGTTTCCACCCAAATGCAGCATGACCAAATGACGAGTAAAAAGTTCCTCATCTTGTCAATAGGAAATGTGTCATTCACCATTTTCTAACATCACAACAAATGTTAAAATGAGGACTGATAAAAGTATGTTATGCTGTGTAACTGCTTGACTAAATGAGGTTAGATACACTGTATCATCCTGGTTCGCAAAAGAAAGGTCCCAAATTATATCAACCAATGAGAATCTACCTTTCTTTAGGAAAATAATGAAGTACAAAGGCAAAAGAAGATTAAAACCGATGATTTAAAACAAGATTTCCTGCTTGCTGATTTGTGTCAGTGGCTTGACTCACTTGGATTTAAAGCAATCTACCCAGGGGAACAGAACAGCTGTTGTTAACAAATCTATGTTAAGACGCAGTTGCATTTCTCAGGCAATAGCTAAGCCCTTGGGGGTGAGGGAATCTGAGCCGGGCAGTTTGCTAAGTGTTTGGCTGAACAAAGTCCTGGCCTCTGCCCTGGTGAGACACTGCATCTCCTCTCTCCAAAGGCCGTGAGGGTGGCAAAGCCATGTTGAGCTGCTGGCTGCCCCGCCAATGTCATCAGTGAGGAGAGGACACGGCTGAGTCAGCAGCCACAGATCGCAGGTAGCAATGGGGGCAACCTTATGCAGGGAGAGGAAAAAATAGCTCAGCATTTGTGCAAACAAGACACTTCGAAGGAATTATCTTTCCTCTGTTATCATCCGGTTCTCACCCACCAAACCGTGGGGAGGCGAAGTCTAGGGCATGACTGAGGGGCACCAGCAGAACTGGGGGAGGGGGACCCAGGGCTGGGCTAGCAGGGGGCTAGAGCAGGTTGAGATTGAGAGGCACCAGCAGGGGTGACTATAGCGGGAATCTGCCTCATGTTTCTTGCTCAGAAGTTACAGCATGTTGAGCCACAAGCCCTTTCTGCCCCCCGCCCCCTCCACCACCACCACGTCCGTCCGTTGGGGGATTGTGCAAAGATGCTATCGGCTGAGTTTGTTTGTGTTTGTCTGTGGCTTGGGGCCTGCTTTGGGTCTGCTCGCTCAGAGATTGCGTGTGTGTGATGGTGGGGGGGGGGGGGGGGGTTCGAACAGCCCTGGGAGATGAAGCCTGCACCAAAGAACTGGGCCTGCTACCAGGAGTCGGGTTCCAGCAAGCTCCTGGGGCAGGGAGAAGGAAATCATTCGGAAGGAAGGATGGAGGGAAGGAAAGAGGGAAGGATGGATGGAAGAAAGAAAGGAAGAATGAAAGGAGGGATGGATGGATGAAAGGAAAGAGGGAGGGAGGGATGGATGGATGGTGGGAAGGAGGGAGGGATGGAAGGATGGACTGAGGGATGGAGGGAAGGGGGAGAAATGGATGGAGGGATGGAGGGTCGGAGGGATGGAGGGTCGGAGGGATGGATGAAGGGAGGGAAGGATGGACAAAGGGAGGGAGGGAGGAAAGGAAGGAAGCATGGATGGAGGGAGGAAAGGATGGTTGGAGGGCCGGAGGGAGGGAAGGATGGACGGAGGGAAGGATGGTTGGATGGACGGAGGAAAGGAGGGCCGGAGTAGCACCGTTATGGTTAAGATTGATACTCTGTGACTCTTTACTACCCATTTTTTCTACGCGCTCTAGAACCGAGACACTTACCTGGATTGACGTGGAAAGCGCCGTGTCTCATGGGGATCCCGGGTAACGTCACTGATCCAGGTTGGAGGCTGTTTGCGGGAAGGTTTCCCAAGAATCAGCTCCCCCCCTAAAATAAAAATCATGGAAACCATCAAAATGTTGCCATCCTTACAAAGCGCCAGCCTAGGGCACAGACTCGGCCTCCCCCAGCTGATCTCGGCCCTTGGGACTGATCCCAGCTGGGGTCCGGCCCCCACGGCCCTGTTGGAGAACCAACACTGAAATCCTTACTGAGGGTAAAAGTGGCTGGAGCCGACACACAGTCACATTTGCACAATTCGCAGGCAGCCTGGCCCCAGACCGCACGAGAGGCGCAAGGGGACATGCTGCAGCCCTCGGCAGTGCCCGCATGCCGCAAGGCTGAGCCCTGCCCTGGGCAGGTTTCTGAGAAACGTGTGTAGACAGCCTTTGCGGTGCCGGGCCTCAGATTTTACTTCAGAAGTTGTGTCAGGGGGTTTGGCAGAGGGCAGATGAGAGACTCTTGGAAGCAGCAAACAGGACGGGGGCTGCTTCCCTGGGCAACATGACTGAGTTTGAGCCATGAACAGACAACAGCTGCTCCGCCCTTCAAAGCGTTCAGAGCTGTCAACCTGCCTTCACACCTGTGAAACCAGCCATCGCCGGAAATGTCACAGGCTAGTAAAGCGTTATGTCGTCTGCCCCTTTTAAACCCATCAGAGCAAACTGCCAGGGATGCCCCCACCCGTGCCCCCCACCGGCCACCAAAAGAGAGACCCTCTGCCGACCTCCCCTCTTCCCTGTGGGGATGGAAATCCCGGCGCAGAAGGGATCATTAAATTGGCTAGTCTCCCATGAAATCATTACACCAGCAGGGTCTCTTGCATAATCCTGGCCAGCTAGCCCTGCATGGAGCCCGGTCACTTGTGCTGGACTAAAGCATCTCCCGGAAAGGCTCCAGTCCGAGAGAGGGACCATCCACCACTGCTCGGGGGAGTTTGTTCCCATGGTTAATCACCCGCACTGCGAACAATTGTGATTTCTAGCTGGAACGTGTCTGGCTTTAACGCCCAGCCATTGGTTCTTGCTCTGCCTTTCTCTGCTATGTTAAAGACCCCATTAGTACCTGGTATTTTCTCCCCTTGAAGCTACGTAGACACTGGAAGCAAAGTCAGTTTGATTTTTGAGAAGCGAAACGCATTGAATCCCTCACGGTAAAGACATTTCCTCCAGCCCTCGAATCCTGAATCACTGGGGCTTTTTTTCTGCCTTTTTGCCAACTTTTCAGCCTCCCCTTGATAACCTGGACAGCGGAGCTGGGCACAGTAGCCAGTATCCATCTGATCAGCACTGTGTAAACTCTCCACCCTGCTCCTCTCACTCCACCCGTTTCTCCATCTGAGGATCACATTGGCCCTTTTCCCCCAGCAGCGCGCTGGGCACGCGGGTGGAATTGTTTGCCCACCATGCCCCCTAAGTCCTTTCCAGTCGCCACTATCCAGGATTCAGTCCCCTGCCGTGCTGCGGTACGGCCTGGCTTCCTCGTTCCCCGATGTATAACTGTGCCCCGGCTGTTGTTATCCATCTCACTGGGTTTGGCTGGGCCCAGCTGAGCGCCATACAACTGTCCCAGCCTCACACTTACTTACCAATTATCTGTCAGTCTTTGCTTCCTCCCCCACCCCCAGTTCATCAGCAGGGAGTTTATCTTCACAGAATCATAGACTAGCAGGGTTGGAAGGGACCTCAGGAGGTATCTAGTGCAACCCCCTGCTCAAAGCAGGACCAATCCCCAACTAAATCATCCCAGCCAGGTCTTTGTCAAGCCTGACCTTAAAAACTTCTAAGGAAGGAGATTCCACCACCTCCCTAGAGAACAGATTCCAGTGCTTCACCACCCTCCTCGTGAAATAGTGTTTCCTAATATCCAACCTAGACCTCCCCCACTGCAACTTGAGACCATTACTCCTTGTTCTGTCATCTGCTACCACTGAGACCAGCTGAGATCCATCCTCTTTGGAACCCCCTTCAGGTAGTTGACCTCATCATTGTACTTCATCAGTGACCTGGATTAAGTACAACAGCGAATAGCCTCTGGCCCAGCGAGAGCAGAGAGACCGTGTCCTGGGTCATCAGCACCAAGGATCCACGGGGGTGCCCACCCACACCCATGGAGACACCATGTGCCCGCCCCCGTGCTGGGAACAGTTAGGTCCTGCCTCCTCCGACACCACAGCCCACCCCAGGATTTTCACCAGAGCGATTTCCTGGGGCTCGGGCCCAGTGACGGAACAAGGTGTCACGGAAAGTGGGGGAGTCCAGGCCCTGCACCCCTCTTCCTGGGATTCACCGTGACTCTCAGCCAGCCAGTAACACAGAAGGTTTATTGGACAACAGGAACACAGTCTAAAACAGAGCTTGTGGGTACACCCAGGACCCCTCAGTCAAGTCCTTCTGGGGGAGCAGGGAGCTCAGACCCCAGCCCTGGGGTTCCCTGCGTTCCACCACCCAGCCCCAAACTGAAACTAACCCCCCCCCCCCCAGCCAGCTCCCTCCTGCAGCCTCTGTCCCCATTCCCGGGCAGAGGTGTCACCTCCCCCTCCTGGCTCAGGTGACAGGCTCTCAGGTCTCCCATCCCCAGGGCACATTCCCAGGTCAACACTCCCCCCTCCCTGCTGCCTCACACACGGTGCGGGTGACGCCTACACTATGGAGGAAACAATGTTTACACAGGGTTTGTGGCTATTGCCGTGGGGAGGGATGGGGCCTCAGCCGAAGGGGCCAAAGGACACAGCTCACGGCAAACGCTCCCCAACGCACCGCGCTCCAAATTCGCTTCCAGATCGGGCCCACTGGGAAAGTCAAAGGCACGAGAGGGACGGACACAGATGGACACCCACCCCCGCCATCCCCATGCCCATCCCCCAGCCAACCCCCTAGCCCCAGGCATACCGGGCTACCCGCCTGCCCCTCACACCCTGTCTCTGAAGGCTCCTCACCCTGCCTGATTCCCCACTCCCTGTGCTGCCCCTCTGGGCTGGAGCAGCCCTGAGCCATGGCAAGGGGTCTCACCCAGCAGGGCCTCTGCCCAGCCCGGGCCGCTTTGCTGCTGGTACAGCAAGAGAAAAGCAGGAACTGAGCCCGGCAGCAGCTCGGCACAACCACCATTGCGCCTGTCGCACGCTGCGTGTTTCGTACCCGCTCGCCCTTCCTGAGAGCAAAAATATCACAGGAGTGTGAAAACCCCCACCGCGGGGGCAGAGGTGCCAGCAGGCCCCGCTCCGCAGCAGCCCCCGCGGTCACCCCGCTACGTGGGGGGGAAACTGGAGCAGCAAGGGAAGATCCCAGGAGTCCTGGCTCCCAGCCCCCCTGCTCTAATCCACCAGCCCCCGCTCCCCTCCCAGAGCGGGGAAGGGAACCCAGGAGTCCTGGCTCCCAGCTCCCCTGCTCTAATCCACCAGCCCCCGCTCCCCTCACAGAGCCGGGGAGAACCCAGGAGTCCTGGCTCCCCGTCCCCCGCCCCCCAACTACCAGCCGTCACTTCCATCCAAGAGCCGGGAGAGAACCCAGGAGTCCTGGCTCCCAGCCCCCCCTGCTCTAACCCACCAGCCTCCACTCCCCTCGTAGAGCCGGGAGAGAACCCAGGAGTCCTGGGTCCCAGCCCCCCCTGCTCTAACCCACCAGCCTCCACTCCCCTTGTAGAGCCGGGAGAGAACCCAGGAGTCCTGGCTCCCAGCCCCCCCTGCTCTAACCCACCAGCCTCCACTCCCCTCGTAGAGCCGGGAGAGAACCCAGGAGTCCTGGCTCCCAGCCCCCCCTGCTCTAACCCACCAGCCCCCACTCCCCTCCCAGAGCTGGGGAGAGAACCCAGCCCCCCTGCTCTAACCTCCACTCCTCTCCCAGAGCTGGGGAGAGAACCCAGGAGTCCTGGCTCCCAGCCCCCTATGCTGTAACCCACCAGCCCCCACTCCCCTCCCAGAGCCGGGAGAGAACCCAGGAGTCCTGGCTCCCAGCCCCCTGCCCCCCAACTACCAGCCATCACTTCCATCCAAGAGCTGGGGACAGAACCCAAGAATCCTGGCTTCCAGCCCCCATCCCAAACCCACTATACCCCACTCCTCAGCAGTTATCCAGGGACCCACTTACCAGTTAACCGGACAGCCTTTATTTTTGGGGTGTAGGGAGGGCGCCGGGACTCCTGGGTTCCACCCCTGGCTCTGGAAAAGGAGGGGGCTGGGAGCCAGGACTCCTGGGTTCTCTCCCTGGTACTGATGACTCTGATGACTCTGACTTGGGGGGCGGGTTGCCCGAGGCAGGAGGCGGGTGCTGGGGCGGGGGCCTGTCCTCCCAGCGACCTGGGAGCTGTTTGTGAAGGGCCCGTGGGCAGGAGGCGCTGACAGCGAGGGGCCCCACAGGGGAGCAGCCCGTGGTGGGGACCTGCGGCGGCCTGGAGCGCACACGGTGGGGTGCAGCCAAACCCCAGGCTGCTGCAGGCTGCAGAGCGCCCAGCTGGGCGGGCCGGGGGAACTGGGGGGGCCAGGGGAGCTGGGGGGGGCCGACCACCCAGCTAGGGGGGTGGGGGAGCTAAGCGGGGGCCGAGCACCCAGCTGGGGGGGGCGGGGGAGCTAAGCGGGGGGGCCGAGCGCCCAGTTAGGGGGGGTCTGTCTGTGGGCTTGGCTGGAATTTCAGCAACCACAGCACGGGGGGGCGGGTTTTCCACAGTCGTTTATTTAAAAATAGCTGAGAGCACGTACACGCCAGCGCCCCCCCCCAGTTCCAGGGGACCCAGCGCGCCCCCCCAGTTCCAGGGGACCCAGCGCGCCCCCCCCGGTTCCATGGGAACTTGGTGCCCTGCTCAGCGGCAAAGCAAGGCAGCCCAAGGGGTTGAAATTAGGCAACCAGGTGTCCGGTACCTGGTCCTAAAGGGTCCCTGACGACTCCGGTCAGCCCCCGGTCGCGGTGCTGTGGGGCTAGAGCAGGCGAGTCCCTCGGCTCCAAGTGGGGGGGCCACAGACCTTCATGTGCTGCTCCTGCCCTGAGCACCGGCTCTGCACTCCCATTGGCCGTGAACTGGCCAATTCGGGGGGGGAGCGCATGGAGCCTCCTGCCCCCCCCCCCCCCCTGCCTAGGACCCAGACTTGCTGGCCGCTTCCGGGGCGCAGTGCGGTGCCCCAGGACACGCAAGAAGCTTGCCCCAGCCATGAGCCCCCTCAAACCCAGAGCCCCCCCTGCACCCCAAACCCCTCATCCCTGGCCCCACCCCAGAGCCTGCGCCCCCTTCCCAGAGTCTGTACCCCCTCCTGGACCTCAACCCCCAGCCCTGAGCCCTCCCAAACCCGGAGCCCCCTCCTGCACCCCAGAGCCCTCACTCCCCTCCTGCACCCCAAACCCATCATCCCTGGCCCCACCCCAGATCCAGCATCCCAAATCCCTGCCCCAGCCTGGAACCCCCTCCTGTACCCTGAACCCCTCATTTCTGGTCCCACCCCAGAGCCCTCACTCCCCTCCTGCACCCCAAACCCATCATCCCTGACCCCACCCCAGAGCCAGCATCCCAACTCCCTGCCCCAGCCTGGAACCCCCCCCCTGCACCCCAAACCCCTCATCCCTGGCCCCACCCCAGAGCCTGCACCCCCTTCCCAGAGTCTGAACCCCCTCCTGGACCTCAACCCCCAGCCCTGAGCCCTCCCAAACCCGGAGCCCCCTCCTGCACCCCAGAGCCCTCACTCCCCTCCTGCACCCCAAACCCCTCATCCCTGGCCCCACCCCAGAGCCTGCACCCCCTTCCCAGAGTCTGTACCCCCTCCTGGACCTCAACCCCCAGCCCTGAGCCCTCCCAAACCCGGAGCCCCCTCCTGCACCCCAGAGCCCTCACTCCCCTCCTGCATCCCAAACCCATCATCCCTGGCCCCACCCCAGAGCCAGCATCCCAACTCCCTGCCCCAGCCTGGAACCCCCTCCTGTACCCTGAACCCCTCATTTCTGGTCCCACCCCAGAGGCCGCCCCCTCTCCCGCCCCCTCAGTTAGAGCCCGCCCCCTCTCCTGCCCCCCAACCCCCTTCCCCCACCCACTGAAAGTGAGTGAGGGTGAGCAAGCCACAGAGGGAGGGGGAATGGAGTAAGCGGGGGCAGGGCCTCAGGGAAAGGGGCGGGGCCTCGGGGAAAGGGGCGGGGCCTCGGGGAACGGGCAGAGTTAGGGGGTCAGAAAGTTGGCAACCCTAGGTTGACTCTGGCGGGGTGGGGGAGCCCCAGTCCCTAGCGCTGCCCCCCCTGCAGGCCCCCCCTGTCGCTTCCCCACGTTCCCATTGCTCCATCCTTGCACCATTTCCTCCACGCCCTGCGTAGTAGGGGACTGTGGGGCTTGGGGGGGGGGCATCTGCCCTGGGGAACTGCAGTTCGGGGTGCTCCGCCTTCCAGGGCGACCCTTTGCAGTTCAGGGTGATCATCCCCCACAGGCACCCCCTGCAGTGCGGGGCGCTCACCCCCCCCGGGGGGCCCCGGTGCAGTTCAGGGTGCCGAGCCCTGGCAGCGTGACCCGGCCGTGCAGGGAGGCGTCGGCGTCGGAGCCGGGGTTCCTGTGCAGCACCAGGCTCTTCTCGAAGAGCAGCGGGTGGAAGGCGCCCAGCGAACAGGCCACCTCCCGGACACCGGTCGGTCCGGCACTGCGAGGGCAGCAACTCACACAACTGCACCAGCCGGCGAAGGGACGTCATCAGCACCGTGCCTGGGGGGCAGAGAGCGGGGTCACCGGCCCGTGGGGGGCCCACAGGCACCGCCCCTCCCGGCCACCAGGGGGCACTGCCCCATGGGGGGGCCTACAGGCACCGCCCCTCCCGGCCACCAGGGGGCACTGCCCCTCCCGGCTCCTCCCAGCCACCTGGGGGCACTGCCCCATGGGGGGGCCTACAGGCACCGCCCCTCCCGGCCACCAGGGGGCACTGCCCCATGGGGAGGCCTACAGGCACTGCCCCTCCCGGCCACCAGGGGGCACTGCCCCTCCCGGCTCCTCCCAGCCACCAGGGGTCACTGCCCCTCCCGGCTCCTCCCAGCCACCAGGGGTCACCGGCCCGTGGGGGGCCTACAGGCACCGCCCCTCCCGGCCACCAGGGGGCACTGCCCCTCCCGGCTCCTCCCAGCCACCAGGGGTCACTGCCCCTCCCAGCTGCTCCCAGCCACCAGGGGTCACTGCCCCTCCCGGCCACCAGGGGGCACTGCCCCACCTAGCTCCTCCCAGCCACCAGGGGTCACCGGCCCGTGGGGGGGCCTACAGGCACCGCCCCTCCCGGCCACCAGGGGCACTGCACCATGGGGGGGCCTACAGGCCCCGCCCCTCCCGGCCACCAGGGGGCACTGCCCCATGGGGGGGGCCTACAGGCACCGCCCCTCCCGGCCACCAGGGGGCACTGCCCCTCCCAGCTCCTCCCAGCCACCAGGGGTCACTGCCCCATGGGGGGAATACAGGCACCGCCCCTCCCGGCCACCAGGGGGCACTGCCCCTCCCAGCTCCTCCCAGCCACCAGGGGTCACTGCCCCATGGGGGGAATACAGGCACCGCCCCTCCCGGCCACCAGGGGGCACCGTCCCTCCCAGGTCCTCCCAGCCACCAGGGGGCACTGCCCCTCCCGGCCACCAGGGGGCACCGACCCTTCGGCCCCGCCCAGCCAACAGGGGTCACTGCCCCATGGGGGGACACACACAAGCCAGGGGGTGCCAGGCGGTCTCTGGGCAGTCGTGGAGGGGTTCCAGGGGGGATGCCGGGACAGGTGCCGGGGGGATCCCTGGCTGGTCGTGTGGAGGGGTTTCAGAGGGGTTTCCAAGGGGGGGGCCTCAGGGATGAGGCGTTTGGGACAGGTGCCGGGGCAGGTGCTGGGGGGGTCCCTGGCCGGTCGGGGGGGGTTCAGGGGGGTTTCTGGGGCAGGTGCCAGGACAGGTGCTGTGGGAGGTGCCGGGGAGGGGGTCCCTAGGCGGTCATAGGGGCATTCCGGGGGGGGGTGCTGGGGCAGGTGCCGGGGGGGTCCCGAGCAGTCGTCGGGGGGTGGTTCCAGGGGGGGTGCTGGGGCAGGTGCCGGGCGGGTTCCTGGCTGGTCATGGGGGGGTGCCGGGCAGTCATGGAGGGGGTTCCAGGGGGTGCTGGGGCAGGTGCCGGGGGGTCCCGGGCAGTCGTGGGGGGGTTCCAGGGGGGATGCTGGGGCAGGTGCCGGGGGGTCCCGGGCAGTCGTGGGGGGGTTCCAGGGCGGGTGCTGGGGCAGGTGCTTGGGGGTTCCAGGGGGTGCTGGGGGGTCCCAGGCAATTGTGGGGGGTGGTTCCGGGGGGGGGTGCTGGGGCAGGTGCTGGGGGGGGGGTTCCTGGCTGGTCATGGAGGGGTTCTGGGGGGGTGCTGGGGCAGATGCCGGGGGGGGGTCTCAGTCGTGGGGGGGTGGTTCCAGGGGGGTGCTGGGGGTCCCGGGGCAGTCATGGGGGGGTGTTCCTGGGGGGGTGCCGGGGCAGGTGCCGGGGGGGCCCAGGCAGTTGTGGGGGGGTTCCAAGGGGGATGCTGGGGGGGCCCAGGTAGTCGTGGGGGAGGTGGTTCCTGGGGGGTGCCGGGGGGGTTCCTGGCTGGTCGTGGGGGGGTGGTTCCAGGGGGGTTCTGGGGGGTCCCGGGGCAGTTGTGGGGGGGTGGTTCCAGGGGGAGCCGGGACAGGTGCCGGGGGGGTTCCTGGCTGGTCGTGGGGGGCTCCGGGGGGGTGCTGGGGCAGGTGCCGGGGGGGGCCTGGCCAGTCGTGGGGAGGCTTCCAGGGGGGGGTGCTGGGGGGTCCCGGGCAGTCATGGGGAGGTTCCAGGGGGGATGCCCGGGCAGGTGCCGGGGGAGTTCCACGGGGGTGCCGGGGGGTCCCGGGCAGTCGTGCGGGGGTGGTTCCAGTGGGAGTGCTGGGGCAGGTGCCGGGCGGGTTCCTGGCTGGTCATGGGGGGGTGCCGGGCAGTCATGGAGGGGGTTCCAGGGGGTGCTGGGGCAGGTGCCGGGGGTCCCGGGCAGTCGTGGGGGAGTTCCAGGGGGGATGCTGGGGCAGGTGCCGGGGGGTCCCGGGCAGTCGTGGGGGTTCCAGGGCGGGTGCTGGGGCAGGTGCTTGGGGGGTTCCAGGGGGGTGCTGGGGGGTCCCAGGCAATTGTGGGGGGTGGTTCCGGGGGGGGGGGTGCTGGGGCAGGTGCTGGGGGGGGGGTTCCTGGCTGGTCATGGAGGGGTTCTGGGGGGGTGCTGGGGCAGATGCCTGGGGGGGGGTCTCAGGCAGTTGT